CCACAGTGGCCAAGCTTTACACATCCATCAATGTGTAAACGAATGGTTAGGGAACTGCAACCCAACAAGGCCGACAAGCATGGACGAAAATGACCTTCAGGTGTGTTACTCCACCAATGATCTTGGACGTGAGGGTTAAGTTCAGCCGTTCTAGGATGCCGAAAAACCCTGCATTCGAAGGTTTATACCACCTAATACATTTTGTTTAATAGAATGACTTTTGCAGTTCTTCAACAGTCTCTCGTCACTATGATTCTACTAGGAGCCTTTTAGTTTTGTCTTAGATTTCTGCCGAAGACTGCGAGTTTTTCGCTTCGGAAAGTTATCCGTGAAGTGACTGTGACGAAGTTATTCGGATATGGTGTCAGAAATGGTATCAGGAAAATTTGCCGTAGTCATAAGACAACTCTCCGGAACACAGAATACTATTTTACATATACACTAACCAATTTGATTTCAACTCAAGTGGCACTGAAAGACGGACAGAAGTCGAAGATGTATTGGTCAACCAAGTATGAGCGGATATGGCAAGTTAATTACACAGCAGCTTGACCATGTGTTTCACGGATGGTTGCTATCAACAAACTAAAATGTCTACAAATAACTTCAGTGCAATATACATTCATACTTCTGATCTTATTGCTCCTGTCTTCTGTCAGCCACGGTGGGGATTGCAACCTCCAACGAATGGGAAACTGGTTCGAATAAACAAGTTCATTGGATGTCCACTCAGTTTTCATCATCAGTGGCACATGGTTTGGTTGTAACATCAACAATAGTGACTCGCCACTCATTTATTACTCCTGGACTGAGGCTGCTAGGCTCTGAAATAAGCTTCATACTTAACTAAGACGATGGATTAAGCGAAACGCCTGACTATTTAGGTAGCCGAGTGGTGAGAATTCCATATTTCCGCTTTTTCCTCCTTAGGTTCACCGTTGATTTATTCATGAATAAGTGAGGTTTCCATTTCCTACATTGAACACTTAGCCAAAATGTAATCCAATGTAACAAAAACGCAAAAACTGTGTGTTCTTCATATTTAGGGGAAAACAGAGACACTCAACATACATACTTTTTTGAAATTTTTTATGTTAGCCATTTTTAGGAGAGGCATATGAAGACCAAGTATATTTGTGTATTTAGTCCGCCAGTTATTCTTTCCATAATCCCGTCAGAAATCTCCCATAAGTTAGAAGTTCCTCCCATTTAACTCACTTGCCAGTTTTAATAGTTTTCGCAGTAGTATCCGCGCTGTCGACTACTGTTTGTGAAGGTCTTTCTAACACTAGGTAGGGAGGATCGCTGTCTAGATAGGCCGGCTCTAGTCCCTAAGTGTTAGTGCTGCGCATGATATTACCTCTTGGAATAACAAAGTATCTTGGATGCCTTACCATGACTCTGAAAGGCCTTTCATATGGTGGAAAAAGGGGGATGTTTTTTATCACATCTCACCCATACATGGGGTCAGGAGTCCAAGCCCTTTGGTATATATACTTCTCTTGATTGTTCTCGTGAGGGAATCGTCCTTAAGTTGACTGTTTGTAGCCGAAGACTGTCAGTGTATGTGGCCTGATGAAGGTTGTTCTTATCAACACTAGGACTAGCAAACTCGCCTTGAAGGTAGTTCCAAATACCATTTTGGCAGTAAAATACTGAGCATCAGTTTTATTGATGCCTGGATTACAGGCATTGCCACTGACGGGAATTCTGTCCAGTGGTTGGGATTAGGATGAGATGCCAGTACAGCCTTCAGTTGTCGATGAAAGCGTTCTTTCATCCCATTAGCTTGATGATGATACGCTGTGCAGCAGATTTTGTTTGATCCTAAGAACTCCAACAAGTTTTTGGAAAGTTTCGACTCAAGCTGAGCTCCTCTGTCAGTTGTTATTGCTATGAGCACACCAAACATGGCTACCGAGTTTTGAAGAAAGAATTTTACTGCCGTTTCTGCGGCAACACTGGAAAGTGGTGCAGCTAATGGGAACCCGGGGGCCTGTGGATTCATGCGAATAAGTAAGTGAATCTATCTGAGTATGGTAGGGGGCATATCAAGTCCTCGTGAACACTGACATAACGAGTATACGGCTGCTAGAATATTCCTAAGCGGGACATTGTGTGTCTGCTTATTTTTGCCCTCTAGTGTGCCATGCACCCTGTCATTCACTTCTTCACGTCGCGTTCTAGGTTAGGCTGAAGTCTTCGCTCCAGGGTGTGATAACGAGTGAACACTAACAAGTATGGCACTCGTCCTAATTATAGGGACGAAGCACCTAGAGGAATCCTGTGTTGCGTTGTGGTATACCAAGTCACCGTCTACAGCAAATAGTGACTGTTCAAGTTTGAGAGGATGTGCTATGACTCCTCATCGTTCTTTTGATTCTCGGCTATTGCTTTTAAAATCCGCAGCGGTTTATTGCGCTGTATTCGCCTGAATTCTGGATCTTGCATCAGCTACACATTTCTCCGTCCCTTTCGTGTGTTTTCTGTCACTGGCGAACTGTGATACCAAAAATAAAGGTGACAAATTTCTCGTGATAAATATCTGTCCAGTTTTGCCCTAAGTGCAGGAGTAAGATGCTTGAGATCCGTTTAGATCGTGAATGGTTTGGCCTTTACCATGTGGTGGAAGTATCTGTTAAGTAGATCGGCAGCAACTCTTCCAAAAACAGAATACCTCGTTTCTGGAAGGTTAAGCCATCTAGAGAGGAATGCCATCGGTCCTCAGCTATTTTCAACTGACTGACTGACAACCGCTCCTGCAACTTTATCTGATATGTCTAGCAATAATGCAAGAGGAGCATCCTAAACAGGATGTTTCAGTGTTGTAGCTCCAACCAACGCTTCTTTCGGCTCTGCAGTTGGGTCGGATGCCTCCTTAAAAAGCTGGAGTTCTTTTCGTTTCACCTTAATGCAGCAGTCGGAAGCTGCATGTACTGGATGCAGTCGGGAATAAGGCATCGGTAGAAGTTGATCAGCCTAAGAAAACTATTGGGATGCGTAGGGAAGGTCGGTAAGGGGTACTGCTAATGGAATCCACATCTTTGGGCACAAATAATAATATTTTATTCACATAAATTAAGCATTTACATGATTAACATACTGCTTGTACAGGCATGATCATATTTAACAAACACGAATTTTGATTGAACAGTGGTTTTTGACATAAATATTGAAAAAAGGAAAAATAACTTCAAATAACTGGATAAGTAACTTGTAAAGTTTGCTTCTAATCGAATAAGTTATAAGATACCGGTGTGATCCTGGTTCAGTCAATGACATGACGTAGGAACTCTGTTGTTGACCCAAAAATGCACTTACTTTAATTGATTGACATACCGTTGTCTTCTGGTTTGCATAATACTACCTGAATTTGGTCTTCGTGGGTGCTTTCATCCGGCCTGGCAATCAGTAAGTTATCTATGTACGCTTTGATGAACTGTAGTCCACGCAGCATGTTACCCGTAAATCTTTGTAAAGGTTGCATCAGCCCGGAGACCAAATGGGATCCGCACAAACTCGTAATCCAAGTGAGGTTGTAATGGCTATTTTGGATATTTTTGGTAAACTCTTCGATGTGTGGTAATAGGAACCTGTCTGTGACAGTCTGCTTATTTAAGGCTCTGTAACCACCACTAAGGCGCTAACCTATCCGGTTTTTCCTGGTCACCATGTGTAATGGCAAGGCTTATTGACTACTCGAGGGCTGAATAATCCCCAAATGAAGCATGTAATCAAATTCCGGTTTCTCTGTTTTTAGCTCTCCGGGAACAATCTTTGTGGCTACGAGAAAACCAGGAGGCCATATTTATTCATAGTATGGTTAGTTTTCTGGCCAGGCCTAAAAGTCTGAAAGTTGGTTGCCGTCATAGTTAGGGATTTCACCTATCCTACTTTTAGTCGTCTCCTCTCTAACGTCTGGACAACTATACATGCTGACTTTTCAATAGAGGGGTCAGGGTCTTGTGCGTCCAGTGCCCGTCGCTCATGCTCTGAGAGGGCTTGCATCCAACCTTGCCTCACTACAGCAGTTTCCTTACAATTTATGCAGGTGGCGCGATGTTTCATTAAAAAAGATATAAAAATATAACTTATATCATTAAACCACCATAGCAATGCATATCGACACTACACTTAGCAGGGATATTCAATAAAGCCACTCACTGCATAATCATTCGCTTTGGATGTGCTAGTGTCAGTTACCACAACATAGAAGGAATAGCTCTTCCATCAGCTCAGGTTCATATGGATCTAGGTCTTATAGCAAGTTATGTCCTAAAAACTGCAGCACAATGTTGCCGGTTGGCAACTTGGAGTTTAAGGTCATTGTAGACAACTCACAAAGCGTCTACTGGAACCGTCTTTGAAATTTCACTTCCTTATATTACGTATCTGGTGAGTTAGAAAGTGTAAAACTTCATCTAGGTGACCAGCCATTACCTATAACGGATTGAGAAAGGCCAAAAATATGAATCTTCGTACGACTAGTGTATCATATGGAGGAAGACTGAGCAGTTTGAATCACCTCTCCCTATCATACCACAGACAGAGAGAAGACCTCCCTACACATTTGAAATGACTACTGAGCTGATCTGTTAAGAAAATCTCGGAGGACGTGATAAGAGAGTTCAAAAACCAAGGGGAAACTATATAGCCGAAGATTATTAGCTCAGCTTCTGAGTCATTAGCCGTTTTAACTAACTCTCAGAAGAAATGGTACCAGAGCCCTCTAATGACTCAGTCAAGAGGAAATTAGACAATCACGGTAAAGTTTTACAAAGAGATTAGCATGGGAAAAAATCCTTCTGTCGCCTTTCAATAAATCTAACATTGGAACCTGAAATAGTTTTAATTTCTCAGTCTTATGGAAATTTTAAATACCGCTAATTTTGGAGTTAGCGGCACGAAGTTATGTTTTCAGAATTAGGTATTATGATGCTCAACAATTAATCCATGTCACTCCAAAGTTTGGTCACTGTTTATCATATTAAGCTCAGTTAATGGATAATAATGGCTTGAAAATGAATGCGGAGGAAGTTCACAAGCCTGGGACGAGGTAAATTAAATCTTTTGCATTTTACGTAGTTCAAAGTAGAATATTCAAAAAGTCTACGCCTAATGGAAAGGTAGTTTGCACTCTAATCTGTAATAAGTTTTAGTTGACAATATATCTTGGCAAAAGAGATTTTATCGACCACCTAACCCACGTGGATCCTATCGGTAAGCTTCAAATTATAACTAACATTATGAATAATGCCCATTGTATGTTTTTGTACTATTCATTTTTTGCCGTCGCCCCCGAAAACTTCATTCTTCCTTCAACATATTGGTATTATGCTTATGTAGGGTTGGTGTATCTCAGGAAACACCATGTGATAAACGTAGTCTTAAAACTCAATGCTTTTATGTGTTTTTTAACATCACAAGGAAGTCGAATACTATTACGGCAGCTTTAAAATGTGCACATTTTTAATACAAAAGTTGACGGTTACTAGCTTCGAAAAATTCATTTAAAAACGTTTGCTAACAACTTTTTGCATCTTGCATTTATTTTCGGCATTACTGGGGAAAATATTTTCATTTCTTTATTGTTATGCTTCGGATATCTGTGTTTTGGTTTGTTAACTTATCAAGGTTTATTTAGTGTGATGGTAGTTTTTAGATGTTCAGCAGAAGTTAATAGCAAAGCTACTCAGGTCGCCTGATGTTCTACTTGAATATCATAGGGCATTTATCGCACAGCTTAAACAATAAAACAAACACTATGAGTTTTAATGTTTATCCAAAAAGAAATGGAGTTGTCAGTAAATCCTGGTACATATCTAACAAAGTTTCAATTTCACTTAACACTGGGCCAATATACTTCATTTGTCATTTTACTACCCCTTGAGAAAGACCAAAAATACCCATTGAGTCATAGAAAAATGAAAGACGATTCGGCCAAGAATGTCACTTTTTATTTTGAGACTTCCAATGATAGCTTCGAAAGTCTACTTATCTGCCTATGGTGAATTTTTTCCAAGTGTGTTGACTTCCGTACTTTCTCACTTTTTCATAAAATTGTTAATACAATAAGATTTCCGGTCTCTTAAAAACTTATGGTTTCTAAGTAACTTACTCGTGACTATGAAACCCAACTGAATGCTCTTTTGCTTGAATGATTACTGATGTTGTTAGATGTTCCCACTAAATGTCATGTGATATCTGAATGCTTCTTATTATGATTGTTTGTTCAACGAATTAATTTTTCCCGTATGGCGTGTTGTAGTGGGTTAATTACTTTTTGTGCAGTCGACTCCTATCATTTCATTTCTACTTGGGACAGTTCTACGCTCCTGTAACTTCTGTGTTAACTTTTATCACTTTCATTTATCCGAGGCGTCAGGACTTCTGAAGTAAAGGTAACATGGGGTATTCTGTTTATTTAATGAGTGCTACTTATGCTCAAAATTGTATCAGGTATTGTTGGTCTAGTCTTTACATCATTTAAAAATATCTTACTTTACACTGAATACTACCCTTTTCTCTTGCCTTGTTATGTGATTTTGGGGGATTGTTTTATTTCTCGTAATTTACTGAGAACTACTTGGTTTTCGATGCAGATGATGGACGTTCTGTGGTCATATTCTCTGACTGCATTTCCCTGTCGAGTTTTCCGAGTATTTAGAGTGAAATGTGTCTCAAGGATCGTTTATAGTCTAGTGATCGATTTTAATACTTTTCTTTCTATATTGTTTGTTGTATTAGTCGCTTTGTTTGGTGAAATGAGTGTTTTGAGGTTTTTTCTGTTTAAACAGCCATTTTCAGAATTCGGTGCATAAAATTGCAGTTATAGAATAGATTTCATGATATTGATGTTATCTGTGTATAGAAATGTGTTTAAACTGTTTAATCTTATGATGTCTTATTTCTTTTCTCAATGTTTATTGTTGCTGTCAACAAAATGTAGAAGGTGTTGTACTAGTTGATCCTGAATATGTTAAAGATCGGAAAGTATTCGTCCATCTTTTGGGTGCTTTTTGGTACGGTCGCGATGAAGTTGACTTACTTGGATTGAATTATCACAAAGATCTTTGTGTAATGACGAAGCAAGTTTTCCCACCTACTGCTTCCAAGACAATAAAATCACACATACCTGTTCATTTACCCGGTAATGGAGATACACCTGAGTTGTCGTCAAATATAGCTTACAAATTTACTGAACCTCCAGGACGTACTCGATTACAAGAACGTCTAGTTCGAAAACTCGGTTCTAATGCTTATCCATTCTACTTTCAGGTAACTTGCATTTTATAACATTAAATACTGGCTACATTTATTATGTTACTGTTATTATTGAATATAGTCAATATTGTTTACTTAAGTCAATTTGCATTTCCCATTGATTGACTAGTCCTAAATGGCACGGAATGCACATCCTGCATTCCACTGATAGCCACCATCAATCAAAATGACATAGTCATTATTGTATGAAAATTAATTCGGTTCCTTTGTTTGTAGTGTCAGAATTACAAGTAATTGTATTTAGCACGAGTTACGTTTAGCTTATTCTATACTGTGGATTTTGATCAGTTTTAGTTGAAATAAGTGGAGATACAGTTTGTGTGGTTTCAAACTATTTTCTTTTTTAAGGTTTATTCTCATTTTGAATTGAATATTTGTTGCAGTAAAGTTATATACTTGACTTCATATGCATCTGTATCCAGCGTAGGTGAAAATAATTAGCTTGCTATTCTGTTAGTGATAATCATTATTATATATATATATATATATATATATATATATATAATATATAATATTATTATCTCTAATTAACTCGTCTTCTGATCTCTTAATGTCACTAAATGGCGCCAGCGGTTTACTTCAATCAGTCAATGTATTTACCTACGACATATTTGTATCTTGTGTTTTTTTCTCATAATTTAAGTCTTAAATACCGAATAAATGCGTTCATTTTTCTATGCTAACGTATAAAAATATAGAAAATGGTAGTTAAATTGTACTGTAAAAAGTGCTGGAAATATTTTACAATGTTAACGGTTTGTATTATGATAGAAATCTTATTAAATAATTACTTCTTACCCCCAACAGTAATACCTAAAGTGACTTCAGTATCAATAAATGTTTACTGCTCTTTTTTTTCTTTGTAGCTTCCAGCATATTCACCTGCCTCGGTGTCTCTACTTCTAAACCCATCTGATCGTGGTAAAGTAAGTTTTCATCTTTAAATGTAATGTTTCCACTTAATGTGTATATATGGGTTAAAAGCTTACATCTTTATTAGTCAAGGCGAGTAACTGTGCCATACCAGTGATAACTAAATTTCTGCTATAGTACAGGTGTAATTGCTTTAAATATTAAATGAAATGCATTTTAGGTAACTAAGAGTGATAAGTTTACAGTTGACTTCCTGTTACTGGAAATTTGTAATGAGAATGTTTAAAAACAAGTTAATTTACAGCTTTAAATGTTTAGATAAAAATTAGCAAAATGTGTAGATACGTTCTCATGCATGGTGTATTTCAGGAACAAGGTATGTTCCTGATTTTTGAGTATATTTGTGATGATTGTTCATATAGTGTCATAATTAGCGTATTCAGTTTGTGATTGACTTTTCGAAGTAATCAGAGTTACTGCTATCATTATTATCATTATTTATTTATTTAAACTCAGAAAAACTTGGTACAATATGGCACCAAGAAAGATGCGCCACACAATATTGTGTGAGGGCTGAGATACTGCCCGGGCGCCCAGACCGAAGCAGGTGGTTTTCCTAAGGGACCACCTCCCGAGCCCTTGACTTGGAGTCTAATCCGCAAGGCAGCGGAGCAGCGTCAGGAGCTGCGTTCCCATGGTTGCCGGTGACCCATATGGGTTCATACGCCATTTGATCCGATCGAATTCTGGAGCCCATGTACCCCATGGTAACTGCTTTTAGTCTAACCGCTATCCAAACAACCTTCCTGACATGGTAGGACCTGCAGGGACATAAGTCCCAGCCAGTTTAGCTTGTTGGGTCACTGCGGCATTCAAGCCCGACCACCACCGCAAGGTAGCAGTTATCGGTCGGAGAACATCTCCATAACCTTGAAAGCCTTAGTAAACAGAACTATTAAATTTATAGGTGTATTGAGACGTGGCATGAAATTTCCTTGAGAGCCCATTGAGTCATTTATCTTGCATCGGTTGGGTATTTTAAAACATTGGCTTGACTTTCAAACGCAGACTTGACATTTTTTAAATTTGTTTATTGCATGGTGTAGTTAACTTAAAGATTGGTATTTTCTCTTTAAAGGTTAGAAGTTGATTTTCACATTTCTTCATGGTTATTTGTTTGAATTAGGTTACTGAGTAAAAAGTCAGTCATATTTGTAAATTTCGTACAGATAAACTCATTAGGCATTTTCTTCGTAATAAATCATGCCAAAAAGGTTCTTTTGTATATAAAAAAGACTGTTGTTAGTTGATTGCATTTACATTTTAGTGTTAGTCTAAGTCACGTAGGGAGATGTAGACTTCCTGGTTGGGGTCCTCGAGACGGTAAAAACCAATGGTTGGAAACAATTGGTGACATGACTCAAAATCGTTCTCAGTGGCGCAGATGCATCCACTCCTTGTGACATGATTTCCGATGAAACTGTTCGTTCTTCGTTATTACTACTCCTTTGTCTCACACCTCTGTTTACTGTCTATATTATGCATTTCTCCTACTTTCTTCTCTTCCTTTGTGTGCTACATGGAGTGTGGCGACTTGAACTGCCGCACATCAGTGCAAAGTTCTATGTCGAAAATAGACAGACAGACATTTTAATGTTACCTTGAAACATTCGTTGTTATTCAGGTAGGTAGAACGATAGATATTTGATTCCAGTCTGATTGTGAACATCAATACTCACTGGAGATGCATGTGCACCCAGATGATGGGTCCCAAAAATGAAGGACGAGACACATGCCCTAGATTCCCCTGTTAAATACAACCAACCAAGTGTTTATTTGGTTTTTGAACTTGTGTTATACTCCTAGGATTACGTCGCTATACAATATTGAACTTATGATTTACCACATTTAAGTAGTAAAATTAAAATCTCACTAATATGTTTGTTAACCGCACGCTATTTTCTTTTGGTTTGCTTTAGTCGTTTTGGTGTCTTTTCTGATTAGCTCATTGTAATGCACTTAGTTGCATCGAAATTACATGTGTGTATGTGTTTATCTAAGATACATAACGGTTCATTTATCTGTGGAGATAAAATTAGCGCAAATCTTGTTCCTCTTGCTTTAACGAAAATCAAAGTAACACGTTGTATGGTTTTTTTAAAATTTTGACAGCGTTGTCGAGTGGAGTATGAATTAAAAGTCTATGTAGCAGACGATCAGGATGACAAGCCACAGAAAAGGTAAGTAAGCCCGCATGTTTATCTAAGAAGTACTGATAATTTCTCAGTCAGATTTTTGGAATTTTTCATTTATACTCATTTCATAACATATTGTACGCATCCGTCGTTCACAAAGTAGGAGCAGCCAACTGAACTGCCGTTTTTACCGAAAATTAGGATTTCAGGGAATGCTAATTGAAATTGAAAGTGCACGTAGTTACAGCAAGATTCTATCAGCGACCTCCGAACTTAACAGAAGTCTAGGCCTTGCTTTAACTTGAACCACTATCAATGCCTGAAAGATCAAGATCACTCAGACACTCTAGTGGAAGACCACGAATTTTCTGATTGGTTACTAGGTATTAACCAATCAGAGTATCCAACAGGAGATCGATGTCGAGCCCAAATAGCTCATTGGTAACGTTTATGACTGTTGCATTGGGTGATGCCAGTCCGAGCCTTGGAGACCACGAAATCTAGGTCTAGGGCTTCTTGCCGGTTACATACCACCACTCAAAATCATAAGTTTTTTAATCAATGTGTTAGTGATCACTTTTATCATCTGACGAACAAGTGACAAATACTGTTGACAGTTTTGAGTGAGATGTTTAACTGACTAACAAAATTACAATTGATGATCGTTAATATAGTGAAGTTTTATCTTTAGAGTTGTTTGAAAAAGAAAAACATTTGCTAACTGTTCCAAAGAAAAAGTTTCCAGAGTGGACAGAAAGGAGTGTTGATATTTTTTGGCGTAGGAAACGAAATAGACTATATTAAATTTGATCACGGATTGATATCAGTTTAGAGAACAATTGAAAATCATGGAGTACTGGATAGCTGTTTCGTCCTGGTTTGGGACTCTGGGTTTCAAACCCCAGAACCTTCTGGTTACTAGGCAAGCTTGTAGACCATTCAGCCATTGGGACCTGACTCGATAGCCCATGAATTTTAACTTCTACCCATTTGTGATTTTAGCGCGACCACTAGACAGTGTCATCGGCGGGTATTTGTCCGCATTCGCTACCGTGTGGACTCCACTGGTCACGACTTCCCACTAGAACTGCGAGCAGCTTTGTCCTGCAGTCAGTCACTAGCGAGCATCAGATTAATTTTCAGTAGTTTGTTTGTAGGGATTTGGCTTGTTTCAGTTCGGACTGTGGATTGATATCAGTTAAAGAATCATTAAAAACCAAGGAGTATCAGGAGTTAGGATTCATTGGCTATTGAGTCAGACTCCAGTGGCTGAATGGTTTACGAGCTTGCCTTGCTAAAAGAAGGTGCTGAGTTCGAGACCCGACGGGTGAGTACTGGCGATGAGTCCCGAACTGGGACGAAACAATTGTCCAGTACTCCCTGGCTTTCAGTGATTAAACTAGAAACAAATCGAACCCTTACAGACAAACTTTTGAAAAATAGACTATATTACTTTTGAACAAAATTATGAGGTTTGAAAATACTAATCTCAGAAGTCTCAGAGTGTATGTAAATAGTGCATATTTATACATACGAGAAAACATATGTAAAAAAAAACTACATCTCACTGTTTGACTCCTCACTTCCTAGGTAGCCCTACTCTGTCTTACTTTTCACGTGTTAACTCACCATTTATGCTTATAGGCTTTTTGTTAGAGTCAGATTAAGTAGGAAAGAACTAGTAACTACGTACGTGGCTTAGGCAACAGTGTTGCGTAAAATCAGGATCTTTAAAGTATTCAATTGTTTTCATTCCACAAGAAATATATATATATATTTTGGTTGAAGGATTTCATCATGAGCTGACATCAGTTAGGGAACCACTGGAAAACCAACAGGGAGTACTGGACAGCTGTTCCGTCCCAGTTTGGGACTCTTCATCAGTAAGCACCCACCGGGGTTCGAACTCAGGACCTTCTAGTTACAAGGCGAGCCAGCTCTTAGACCATTCAGCCACTGGGACGCAATCCAACGACCAGCCCATGAATTCTAACTTCTGCCAATTCATGACATAGCGCGACCATTTTGCAATCTCTTCTTCGATGAGTTAGTCTCACCTTCAACCTGCTGTATCCTACTGGTCACGCTTCCCACTAAAACCCCAGGTTAACTGCCTGAATAGGGCCAGTCACTAGTGAGCAGCTGATGTCAACTCATGATGAAATCATCCAACCAATCAAACAAAATCCCTACAAAACCAATACTTGGATATATATATATATATATGTATATAACTAGGTATATGTATGAACTCGTTTTTGTTCAAATGAATCTTGTGTTGTATATGTCATGCAAAGTGCATTCACTATAAATTGTCTGTCAGCTATAATTTGTTTTATTGATTGCGATTACACTTATTTTACTAGAGGCAAAAAAAAACAAACAAAACTGGCCAATATTTTCCTTGAATTCTTCTACGTACTGATACTGTTTAGTAATTGATCATATATACATATATATATGCAAAAACATGCATAGATGGAGATGGTAGTTGATATTGGGTTTCCTTTCAATCAAATAAGTAGTATATCTTTAAATTTGGTTTTACTATGTTGCACAGCTGGTTGTGATATGTTGGTGGAAAATTATTTCCATAGCCTCAGGTCTTTAATCAGATCAATTAAAGCTAAAGAATTCTGATTAGGCAATAAGAAAGTGGAATGTATGACATTAATTCAGTCTTTACTGTCATGTGCTAAAAAAAGCCCAATGACACCGAGTGTAGTTCAGAAATAGGTTATGCACAAAGTTAAAAATATTGAACCTGGTTTTTGAATGATTAGACCATTGGAATGCTAAACACTATTTTTTGTAACCCTCTGACTACTTATTTCCTCAGGAAGGCGGGGGGGGGGGGGTCTACTACCCAGTGTTTTCATATATATAATAGTATATACCTCTTTGGATTTAATCACATTGACGTATTGTGCTACATATTATTATGGTCGGCGATGCGCTTCAAGGGAATGAATATGTTTGATACCTTTCTTAGATATCTCAGCTACTCTTTACTTAGAAAACAGTTATAATGGTTTACTAATCATTCATCCATTATGTGATTTACCTTCGTCAACCGTGAATGAAACACGAGATTTAGCAAGAGTACTCAATTCGACGGTTTCAGTTACTACAGCTGTACAATCGTGTTTTTTTTATTCCTTTACGCTTCCAGTGGAACGCAGGGTTTCAAACTAAAGCTTTGAAGTTTCGATAGCAGCAGTATTCATTTTTACGGAATGGGATTGCTAGCCTCATGCCCAAACTCCCCTCTTTACCAGCTTTTTTATTACTGGTTTAGAGAGGTAAACGAGTGCGTCGGCCGGGGGTCGAACAATCATACGAAATCATAAACATTTCGTTTCACAAGTATATCCAATAGTTCCACATTTAAAACAAAGTAACAAAGCAGATAAATGCAATGGCTAAGGATTAATTTAATGCGGGTGTAATAAAAGCGAATAATTATAGAGTTTTGTTTCATATGCGTTTGTATCAATCTCAGAGTATATAGAATTGGATTATTCGATATTCGCATTAAACGTATATGTTGCCTTGACACGATATTAGCAGAAATAAATTCCGAAAAAATTCTTAGTGGAAAACAGATGCCTATTTTATTTCATGGATAAAAACATCAAGCGAAGATTTCTAAGGTATTGTCTGTTTTCTACGAACAAGAAAATGCTGTATATAAACTTTGGCATCATAGGTAACTTAGCTTCTGACATTGTGAGAGGTCTTACACTTCATAAAGAGACATTTGTTGTTATTAGATGGTTAGAGGCAATCGGCAGGAAGCCTTGGACCTAGGTTTCGTGCTAGTTGGCACTCATCATCAAGGCGTATCTGCAACCTCGACGGAACTCATGTCCCTTCCGAGATCCGAACCCGCCTCACCCAGTGGTGCAGTCATAGACGTTACCACTGAGGAGCTATTCGGACTCGCGATTGACCTCCTGTAAAACTGTTTTGGATAATTTTTATTGGACACTAGTCAGTAACTAGTGTAATGTGTTTAGTCCTTTGATGCAGACTGAATTCTGTCAGTGAAGCTTGCAATGTGGCCACCATGCCACTAGGTGGTGACTCTCCATCTCGGTGCACTGTGAATTGTTGATATTAGATTGATTGGAAGCAATTGGCAGGAAGCTTTACACTAGTTACTGACTAGTGTTCAGTCAAAGACATTTATTGTAGCCATGCTTTCCACTCAGTCAACCATTGTTTTCTAACAACTCAAAAGATAAGATAATGGTGTTGATCTACTCTTCATCTGTATTCTAGTAGACGTGCATTTGTGGAACTACGCCGTTACAAGCACATTCTGTCCAAGAAGATGCAAGAACACTGATTTGCATGGTTGCAGAGAGTTAGTGGTGGGCCTATAAGAAGTCTGATAATTGAACATGTTGTTGGTAGCAGTCATTCTATCTCTGAAACTTCATCCTTTAAAGTTGTCTACAAGGCGAAAAAACCCTACCAAAATCAGTGGGTGTCCACCTCCTACCGTGGTCTCTTAATTCTGTAATGCTGAAATAATCTGATATCAAGAGACATCACATCTTCATTCGAAGAATTCGTGTCCTGTATACAATCGATGAATTCAAAGTTATCACGGAGGAAGTAAGTGACTAACTGAGAGCGCTTAAGTCAGCAACAAGATCTCCTTCTGTAACTTCACTTCACAGTTGTACAGTTATTTCCTAACAGGCCCAAAAAAGCACCTAAACATAAAGCCATTAAATTATAGGGCGATCCTGATAGTCAGAATCTGGAAAACTGTAAAACTGTCACATTATTAGTCGTATTGCTCTTATCTTTCCATCAAGGTATTCACTACTAAACTGATTGTTTATCGATCCTTTTCAAAAACTTTGAGTTATTTTGTTCATGTATTCTTTCCGACCCATGAGAAATACGCTTGCAGGGTGTGTTTATAATGTACGTATCTTTTTTGCATCAGCTGTTCAGGATATTATTATTTGTGTCGTTTTGTTAACAGACATCTTGAGGTGTATATATGCCAACAGTCAACAATGGTTTGAAAATCTGTGCGGGATCATTAGTTTGTCATTTTGATGAAAGTTGTTAATGCATGATGCATTTGGCCTCATTACGCAACAGTTTATCGACAATAATTCACTTTTACTATGCCTCTATCATATTTTGATTGGCATCCATTAATCATAACCGCTTTGCATTTATCTTGTTTATTACGATGTTTGAAATGTGAAATTATTGGTTACATTCGTGAAACAAAATTGTGTATGATTACGATTGTAAAGCTATAGTGAATGAAAGTGTCGAAAAGTGTATTTGTTGAATCATGCTTTCTTTTTTCTGCAAAAAATGTCATCCTATTCAAATGTAAGGATATTAGATAAAGTAGAATTAAATCAGTGTTTCTAATAGTATTAGTATTAACTATCTTCGGTTTATGCATCGGCGGCATAGCGGTTAGGACGCTCGCCCACCATGCACATGGTCCGGGGTTCGATCCCCGGCCACAGACGCAGTCCTTTACCTCGCTAAGCCAGAAATAATGCTGGTGAAGAAGAAAGGTTGGGCATGAAGTTAGCAATCGCATCCTGTAAAAATAAACACCATTGCTACCGAAACTTCAAGCCACTAGCTTGAGGCCATATGTTCCACTGGGGAAGGTGAAGGAAAAAAAATCTTCGGTTTATCTGTGCTACGCCTAACTAATATATGAGTGGTATAAACTAGTGTCTCTATATTAAGTTTAATCACTTCATTTAATTCGTCTGTCGTATGATATAACTGAAGTAAATGCCAAATCAGGAGTTTTCATTTTCGGTGAATTTAAGCCTACTCACAACATTGGAATTTTAGTTAATCACTGGTTCATGTTTTCATATCATTTCACATTTAGTCGTGATTCTCACACATGCGAAATCTGTTCATCAGACGAGGTTATGGTAGTTCATTTTGTTGTTGTATGTTTATTAGACAGTGTCTAGGTAGTTTCAAGTGTCATTAGTCGTATTATTGTTATGCCACTCAAAGTCTGTTATTTATGCGTAGGTGGGTATTTAATTTGCGTACTAATTGTGTTTAATAAGACAACTTGCAGGAACCACCCACACAAATGGATATTGGACAGAATATTTATCATAGTGAAGGTTCATCATGAATTTAATTGTATACATATAAAAGCATATCGTCTCAGTGTATCGCTGGGATTTTGACTAGATCGTTCACAATTGAAGTCCTGATTTGTGGGGTAAGGCCAAACGATTTATATAGGCATCAAATTGTTTGGGAACTGAACGCAACTTGGTATTTTATAAAGTAAACTGCAGAAATGTAATTAATGTGGTAATGAAACTGTAAACTATTTGATGATATAATACACGTTAAGGCCTTAGATTTTATGTTAGTTGTTTGATATAGTGACTTTGAAAAGCTGTGCTAATATGAGTGAAAGGTGTAATGCAAAAATGCTTATTTCTTTCACACATACAATGAAAAGGTCGGTAAACAATGTTGAAAGATGATATTAGTAGTCTTAAGAAGTCGTAGGACTCGAGTAAAAAAATTTAAAAAAAATTAAAGATATAGGTGAACTATGAACTTACTTTCCCCCATTTTCAATCAAATGATTTAGGATTTCTAACAGTCTGGCAACCCAAACTAAAAGGTTTACGCTTTTTTTTTTCAACGTATTAAATCAACAGTCAGAGAATGTCATAGATAAGTGATATTGGTGTGTAAATATTCCCAGTTTTATTGCAAACAAATCTACGCTGGGTTGTTGTCTTGCTTACGTAACAAATGTCTTTTTATTTCAGTTGATACGGGAAATTCTACGAACACAATAATACTAATAATATCATCATATTAACAATTAGTAATAATAATAATAATAATCAAATGACTGTGGCCGTCAAAAATACTACCAGCTACATCTTGAGACAAACACCATTGTTCAATACACTACTGTAGGTGGTATTCATATGTGTAACAGGCACCGTATATTGGCTGGATCTAATCGAATTTTCTGTATCTGTTCTGAAGTCTAGTTGGTTACTAAACCGCTAGGAGTAACTGGTTAGTGTCTTCAGCTATTACACTTCATGTTCTTAGAGTAGAATGCATTTTGTGACTTCAAAAGAAAGCGTGACATCAACTAATACTTGTTACTCATGTTATGTAACTATATTGATCAATATTGTATGACTGAATTGATTTAATTTTTAAATTTACTTCTCACTTCATTTCCACTATCTTATAGAAATTCTGTACGTATGGCTGTCCGCAAACTGACATATGCACCCAATGAACCAGGCCAACAGCCATCGGCTGAATTATCGCGAGACTTTCTTATGAGTGTTGGTAGTCTTCGAGTGGAAGCGACGTTGGACAAAAATGTAATTAACAACTTATTTAATCTGCTAACATCTAATGATTATGTGTTTTAAAATTGTTGTATAAAATTTAATGTGTTTACAGCTAAGAATCACTCATCACCGGTTAAGGCGGGTTTTTAGGCGCTCATCTGTTCATCTGTTTCTTCATTAATTCTAAAGCTTTGTGCAGCATTAATCACACTTTCTGTATTTGGTTTTCCAAATATCCATTATGCCATTTTTAAAAATAAGATTTATGTTCAAAAACGGTACATAACTACTTATTTTTACCATCTGCAATGATAACCTGCTCTAAAACGTCTTTGAAATGGTTTCAGGATTTCATCCTGAACTGACATCGATTAAAGGACCACTGGAAAGCCAGGGAGTACTGGACAGCTGTTTCGTCCTTGTTTGGGACTCTTCATCAGTGCGCACCCACTGAGCTCGTAAACCACTAAGCCACTAGGATCCGATCCAATGGTCCATGAATTCCAACTTCTGCCAATTCATGATATGGTGCGACCACTAGCGAACGTCATCGGTGAGTATTGGTCCTCACACTCGGCCTGCTGCACCTCACTAGTCATGACTTCCCACTAGAACCCAGGTAACTACCTACCTGAATAGGGCTAGTCACTAACAAGCATCAGACTTGCTTGCAGGGACTTGACCGATTTCAGGATTTACAGGTTTTCCAGTGGTCCTCTAACTATTATCCGTTGATGATGAAATCCTGAAACCAATCAAATTTCTACAAACCAACACTTGAATATTTTTGAAATATTGTGCGTAGACATTACTTTTTATATGAGAGTAGCATTGCATCAGTAGTTTAGTTACTGTCTTCAATAGAACCTAAATGTATCTTATTCGTTTACGTCGATGAAGTGTTTAGCTAAGATTATTGTCTTACGAAATGTCTCACGAATCTTGTCAGTTTTACTCCCTACTTATTCTTTTATTATCTGGACAAGTCAGTTTGCCTGTTTGGGGATTCCAAGTCTTTGATTAGCACAAATTTTACACGTTCTTATTCGTGTATACTGATTCTGTGTGTAATTAACGTCCATTATTTATAGATTTACTCAGTTGATGAGTTTTAAGTGAATGAAAAGCGAAGATCCTCAATCAGGAGATTAGAGCATTGGTTACATGAAAATGATCTGAAAGAATTTCTGAACATTGATTGTGAGGTTGTCGGAGAAAGAATACGATAACTATTAGATATCCGCCTTAAGCATTATAATCAGTAACTATGTACTATAAAAGTGTCTCTGTTCTCTCATGTATGTAAGATGCTGCTACAGGACTGGACTACGTTAACTCCTCGCTTAGTGATAGGGAGTGAAGTGATAGAACATGTTGACCACTTCACCTATTTGAAAAGTTGTGTCAGCACCAATGGAGTGATTGGTGACGAAATCTCAGCACGGATCCGAAAAGCTCGGGCTGCTTTCGCTAACTTACACCATCTCTGGCGTTGGCGTGACATCCGACTATCAACCAAGTGACGTGTGTACTGCTCAGCAGTTCGCTCCGTCCTTCTCTATGGCTCTGAAACATTGCCAATACGAGTTGAAGACATGAAAAGGTTGACTGTTTTTGATCATAGATGTCTACGATCTCTTTCTCACGTTAGGTGGCATAATAAGGTAAGTAATGCTGACGTTAGGCGTAGAGTGTTGGGCAAAGAGGGAAAATCAATCGACGAGGCTATGAAGTTACATAGATTGAGATGGCTAGGTCACGTGCTGCGCATGCCTAACCATCGCCTCCCCCGACGGGCATTACTAGCTGATATAGGTGCAGGTTGGAAAAGATTAAGTGGTGGCCAAACAAAAACATGGCATCAATCCATGAAATCCTTGACAGTTAAACTGAGTCAGGTAGGGAGATGCAGACTTCCAGGTTGGGGCCCTCGGGACTCTAAGAATCAATGGCTGGAGACAATAGGCGACATGGCTCAAAATCGTTGTCAGTGGCGCAGATGAATTCAGTCTCTGTAATCTTTCATATTCCTTTCTACCATTACTCACTCTGTGTCACTCTTATACTTGTCAAAACTCTATTGATTCTCTTCACTCATCTTCTTGTCTACTTTTGTGTGCTATTTGGAACGTGGCAACTCTAACTGTTGCACTTGGGTGCCAAGTTCTATGTTGAATCCAGCCAGCCAGCTGTTCTCTCATGGAAAGAGTTGAAACTAGTAATTTGAAGTATGCACGTATCGTACCGTCTGGTTAGTGGACAAGATGGGGAGAATTCAAAATGATGTGCTATGTATCATAGAGTCTTCCTCCTGGATATCAGTAACATGTCTCGCGTATAGCTCAGGGTATAACTGGAACGGTACAGTTTGATTACATGTATTTTTCTAGTCTGATAGTATTCATTCACTGATAAGTCTACTGTATCGAGTTATGTGTATAGGTTCGCCTCAACCCCATTGCGTTAGTGAATGCTTTGACACTATGCTTCCAGTTGATGAAGGTCCTGGTCTCTTTTAAATTATCATTTAATTTTTTTTCAAGATTTAGTTTGTGGGGATTCGATTTATTTTAACTTTCGACCACAGATTGATATCAGTTAGAAAACCATTGGGATTCAGGGAATACTGTACAACTGTTTCGCCCTAGTTTGAAACTCCTCAAGAGCATGCACCAACAATTCCACCAGGAATTGAACCCAAGACTTACAGGTTACAAGGCCAAGCTTGTTGATCATTCACGCATTTGAGCGTGAATTCAATGGCCCATGAATTCCGACTTCTGTCAGTTGTCGATTTTAGCGTGATCGCCGGCTAATGTTATTGGCGAGTATTTGTCCTCACACTCGACCTGGTGGTGTAACTCACTTCTCATAGCTTCTCACTAGAACTCAAACTAGGATGGGATAGCTCTTCAGTATCCCCTGGTTTTCAGTGGTTTTTATCAAAGTTACTTTCTGCTGTAGTAACACTATGTTGTCGAGTCCCAACAATCTCAGGGTATGAACTTAAAGTTTTCTGTAAGCTCAGTGGTAGTATCTACTGAATAAACATATATATATATATCCATTCTATCAATGCTTTTGTCGATAGTGTATAGTCGTAGTTCATGGACATTTACAAGAAAATTTGTCATAGCGTAAATTGAATTCTTGTTCCTCTACTGACTGGTAAATGAATTCAGTATTCATTCATTTATGAACTATCCATCATACAAATTTTTAATTAACATCTACAGCGAGATTTGTTGAATAGGAAATAACTTTTTTAAAATTTATTTGCTCGTATATATATATATATACTCTTATGTAGCTGTATTTTAAAGTATACGTGATTGTTGAAATACTATCTGTACTCAATTTATATATATATTTAGACATTTTAATCTCGCCTACGAATCTGTTATTTATTTTTTTTGTCTGTGAAGACTATAAATACATTTTGTTGATGTGTACTACTATTACTACTCCTACTAAATCCATAATATGTCCCAACTATCTCAATCTATGAAGCTTCTAAACTTCGTTGATTGACATTCTCTGTTTACGTAATGGTCTACATCTAGCCATGTGATGACTTATTGTATTGTTGCGATGGAATAAAGACGATATATATATATGGTAGAAAACTCCCAATCTTTTTGCACTTCCCATTTTCAGCGACTGTTTCTCACACTCGTAAAATAGAATAGAGCAAACTACTGTAGATTCCATCTACCTTGTGGTAGGTAACCTCCAAGGATGGCTAACAGTTTTGTTAAATGCCAAGTATGCCTTCAGTATCCAATCACTTGTGGGTGATGTAGCTTAGCAAATAGATGAAATAGTCAATATATGTAGCTGTTGACTGGAGACTAGTTAGTAACTAGTGTAATGTGTGTCTAGTCTTTAGTTTGGTGCAGACTACATTCTGTCAGTGATGCTTGCAATGTGACCACCATGTCACTAGGTGGCTCGCCATCACGATGCTTCACGATGAATTGTTGATATTAGATGATTGGAAGCAATCGGCAGGAAGCCTCCAACCTGTAGCTATTTCACTAGGAGCCAGTTCAAACTAGTCGTGCAGAATTATCATCCTACGCTTGACAGTAGTGAAGCATATGCTGAGTATTTATTGTTCCGGTCGTAAGCTTATTCTTTACGTTGCTGAGACTGGTGTAGACTTGATGTGGATACATTCTGTAATTATAATTAACTTAGTTTTCTATAGTTTGGTTTGTAAGGGTTAGTTATGTTTTTACGAGTTGATCACAGATTGATGTCAGTTAGAGAACCATTGAAGACCAGGGAGTACTGGACAGCAGTTACCCAAACTAGGATGAAACAGCAGCTGTCCAGTACTTCCTGGTTTTCAATGGTTCACTAACTGATATCAGTCTGTGATCAACTCGTAAAAACATAACTAACCCTTAGAAAGCAAACTATAGAAAATTAATCTCATGGTCGCCAGTGACTTGATACAGGATGGAGTTTCCTGGAGTTCTAGTGAGAAGTCGTGACCAGTGAGGTTCAACCAGATGTCACGTGTGAGGATGGATGTCCCAACAGCGACATTGGTTAGGGTCGCGCTAAATCACGAAGTAGTGGAAGTTAGAATTCATGAGCCACTGAATCGGGTCTTAGTGGCTGAATGGTATACGAGCTTGCCTTGCAACCGGAATGTCCTGGGTTCGAGTCCCAGTGGGTGCATACTGACGATGATTCCCAAACTACTATGAAACAGCTGTTCAGTACTCCTTGGTTTTCAATGGTTGTCTAACTGATATCGATCCGTGATCAACTCGTAAAAAAATAATTAACTTAAACTTTTTAACTTTGTTCAGTATAGGGAAGTTTGTGATTACTTTCTTTTTCATAATATTTCCCTTGAAATACAAGCAGTGAATAATAGCTATAATACATGACAATATTAGTGTAATTTGACACGACGTTATTCAGTGAAATCGTCCTTTTTTCAAAGTTGTTCGTTTAAGGTGATGTTTTCTTCTGGAAATCTTTAAAGATGCATTGAAATTTAATATTTCAAAAGCAAACAAAACTTCAAACTCTATAGCAATGTTTATATATGTATATATATATATATATATATATTCGTTCTTGATTTTAGGTAACATTCATCTTGTTATTCTATTCATATGCTTCTCCGTCCATCCATCTCCTTGCGTCCTGTTTTTAGTTTAATTTATAATTCCTTCCTTTTTTGTTTCTGTACACTGTGTGAACTGATGCGCAGTTAGTTGTTTTAGATTTCAGGTTGTCACTCAAACAAAGTGTTTGCCATTTCGCATGCATATATATATAGTAACATATCTTTCGTCCATCCATTTCTCTGCTTCTTTACTGAATTCCGTATGTCTTCATGCTTATTTTTCATTCTCTCTTTTCCTTGCTTCCTTTCTCCTCTTTGTCAATGCATTTGTCATTGTATTTATTAGGTATAAGTAAGTAAGTAAGTACTCTGCCTATTTTTGACGATCAGTAATATTTTTTCTGCATTGTTCCTAGGTATGTTTTCATTAACAGGGAGTAAATTTATCTCTATATATTTTGTTGCTGAGAGGCTTAAGGTTGTAGAAAAACAAGGAAACTTCCATTCCTTGTGCGCTCTTATCTGTTGATCTGTTTATTTATTTATTTGCTTATTTGTTTATTTTTTTTTTCGGTGTTTTCTATTTTCTCTTGTAGAAATATTTTCATGGAGAGAAAATCTTTGTCAACTTACTTGTAGATAATAATTCGAATAAAACAATCAAACGTATCAAGCTGTCAGGTAAACTACTCATTATATGAGCAACAATTGATTTTCAGAAAAAATTCATTTCGTGAAAATAAAACACGTAGTTCAGCGGAGAGTTAGTCTCTTTCCGGCGGCGAATTCATCCAGTTAACTGTACAATCACAATTATTCAAGTGTTGGTTTGTAGGGATTTGATTGGTTACAGGATTTGTCATCATGAGCTGACATTAGTTAGAGAACCATTGGAAAACCTGCAGGGAGTACTGGACAGCTGTTTCGTCCTAGTTTGGGACTCTTCACAATTATCTATAATTATTTTCGTATGTGTATGTGTGTGTACATTAGGTTTGTCCGATAGGAATAAAGATAAGTTAGGGTTATTGTTTACATCATCAAAATATTTCCAAAATGCGACGAGTAATCAAATTGTAACTAGGATGCGCGCGGGGGGGTAAAGATTAGTAAGTAAGAGGATAGTGGTGATGAGTTGTCCAAAAATGGTTGTCAATATTAGTCGATGCATAAGAGAAGTTGAATAAGTGAAGTGGTGTTGCGTAATGAGATGGATAATTTAATGAGTGGGTTGCGATTAGGATGTACAAAGAAACGAAGGGAAATATGGAATTATGTAAGAGTTGTGAAGAAATACAAGTGTTATAAGGAGCTGGAAAAGCTGGCACACAAACATCAGGTCACTAGAAATCAACATGGTTGTTGCCATGATAGCAGAAGTAGTTGAATGATTTTCTTTTGTATGGTGGCTCTATAAGGAGTGCGATTATCGAATACCTTGTCAAAACTAGCCATTCCATGTCAACAGACGCCTCCTTCAAAGTAATCTATAGAGTCAAGAATAACCTATCAAACACAATACGCTTTCGTCTCATTTTCATTGCTGAAGCCTTAGCCATTCAGCTGAAAAAACCAGAGTTATGTATGCAAAAGAAAATCATCTAACCACTTCTACTATCATGGTAACAGCCGTGTTGACTTTTACTGACTCGATGTTTGTGTTCTTGTTTTTTTTCTTTCTAACTCCTTAAAACGTTTGCAATTTTTAGAACTCTTACATAATTCCGTATTGTCCTTCGTTCCTATGTGCATCCTAATCACAACTTAGTCATTAAACTGTTCATCTTATTACTTAATTGTATCACGCTTATCCAACTTCTTTTGTGTGTTAATAAATATGTTTTTTAGTCATGTCGAGGATCGGTCGAAGTGGAGTGCCCATCTTGTGTACTTTAGGAAGTCCGTAGTGTCTTGGTGTATTTGAACCAGATGGTCTCAGGGATTCAAACGTCTCGTTGGTAATGAAGGATTCGTTCTTTAGTTTACGGAGGATGTCTGTTAGTTTTTGTTCAATCTGCTCCGTCATGTTTTTCTCTTTGGCCGGTTTGGTGAATTTAGATTCATCAGATAGAATGGTCAACAGTTTACTGATATAATCCTTACCGTTCATGATTACTATTCTTCCACTTTTATCAGGACGTATCAGCATAATCTCTTCATTGTTCATCAATTCTTTCAGCTCTTTGTAGTGTTTCTTCGTTATTACGGAGCTGAAAGAATTGATGAACAATGAAGAGATTATGCTGATACGTCCTGATAAAGGTGGAAGAATAGTAATCATGAACCGTAAGGATTATATCAGTAAAATGTTGACCATTCTATCTGATGAATCTAAATTCACCAAACCGGCCAACGAGAAAAACATGACGGAGCAGATTGAACAAAAACTAACAGACATCCTCCGTAAACTAAAGAACGAATCCTTCATTACCAACGAAACGTTTGAATCCCTGAGACCATCTGGTTCAAATATACCAAGACTCTACGGACTCCCTAAAGTACACAAGATGGGCACTCCACTTCGACCGATCCTCGACATGACTAATTCACCTTACCACCGCACTGCCCAATGGCTAGCAGACTTACTTGAACCAATCAGAAAATATGTTTTTTGACAATACATCACTACTACCCTCTTACTAATCTTCACCCCCTCGTAGTTACAGTTTAATTACACTTCACATTTTTGAAATGTCTTGACGACAATGACCCTAACTTATTTTTATTCTTATTGGAAAAACCTAACGTACACATTCATACAAAAATAAGTATATACAATTACGATTGTACATTTATTTGAATGGATTCGCCGCCGAAAAGAGACTCTTCTCTGAACTACATGTTTTGTTTTCCTTAATGTCTGGATGGGAATTATTCATAAATTCATATAGTGCATGCTTCTTTTTTTTTCAAGTATGTTTACGTGTGTTCCTTATACACATACACTTTATCTTTACTAAATCGAAGAGGAGGATTATCATGTTTGAATGTTTGTGTGCTCAGAACTCAATTCCTGTAATATGATCTACTCAATTTATTGTCTGTACTTGATTGAAGGAAGAGTAAAACAGGTCGCATGAAGTGTTATCACCTTAAGAAGTGGATATTTATTGATTCAAACATCGGACTGGACAAAAAATCGTCTTTTCTTGAAGTCTTTGCAATACATATTGTAGCGATGGAAACTGACGTGTTGTGCTCTGAACGATGGGAATCAGCCTTCGCGTTCTGCTGTATAGCTAACCAAAACTCTCTTGAGTGACGCACCCTCCTGAAGTGCCCTGACCACAGCGAAAAGACAGTTGTGTGCGATAAAATCTGTGGTACTAACTAACAGTAGCAACATAAGAAAACTCAAAATCACCTCAGCAATGCCGTTAGACAGATATGTATAGATCCAATTATTTCTCAGATACAAAGGAAGAACTAACTATACAACAGAATTGTTTAACCAAAATCAACCGTAAGGGATTTTCCAGTATAAAACAAGTACTGTCAAACAAAATTAGTTAACCAAAAACCAACGGTGTAAAGTACCTGAGAAGAACCAAGAAGAATATTCCCAACAAGATGAGATTAAAACCCTGTCAGCAAGAATCATACATTAAACACTTCTCGCTTGCTGTCTGAAGTCAAAATCTCCACGGTCAACCTTGACTTCATTCCTACAAGTTCATAATTGCAAAACAATACATTATCAACGCCATGACACAAGAGCAAATGGAAACGTTTAAATTACGGACTGCACTAGAGCAAAGACAAATAATGACGATTAAGTCAATCGGTGTATTTGTTTAAAAACTTTTGTTTCAGGATAATTATTAATTACATCCTAGTCATTTCACTTCTACTTTTTTTTTACAGTTCGACAGTATACTCAAATCTATGTTCAAAGCCCAATTCATTTCAAATGCTCCGTTGATGAGATTCAGTCAGAGTAAGGACACCATATACTTTCCTCTTTTTCTTTTCAGTATTTACGTTTAATTATTTATGATTTCAGTTTACTTATGATGTATATTTGATTCCATTATGATGTTTTTAGGTTAAGGTATAACCTTTCAAGTTTCATTAAGTCAATTGGTGGGTGGTGACTAGCAGTGGAATCCAGGATGCCCATTTCGTCCTATTTGGGACTCGTCAGTTGGAAGTACCTGCATTCCTCAGTGAATGATGGTGTTCCCACCGAGGCTCGAACCCAGTACTCATAGTTTCAGACGCCAAAGCGTTATCCACTAAAGTGCCTAGGCCACGAGGGTCACCTCTTGTGCAGCATTGGGAAGACCATCAGTCACTGGGGAATGCAGGTACACCCAGCTGGTGAGTCCCAAATAGAACGAAATGCGCATTCTGGATTCCACTGCTAGTCACCATCCACCAGTTGATTTCAAGTTATATGACCAGACATCGTTGAAGCATCTGCAAAAGGAGCCGAAATGTCAACCTGAGACCGAGCACTTCGTTCCAAACAATCGACGAGAAAATCTATACTTGAATTAAATACTTTCAATTTTCAGTTTTAACTGAATATAATTACTTGACTTTTTTCGATATTTTTATTATAGGGAGTACTTACAATTGTATATATTTTATGGATTCTTAATCTACTAGTTAGTTAATGGTAAGACAAGGCAATTTCAGATTTTGCTTTTAGGACTATTTTATGTACTACGCATTACGTAAATGTTTGAAAGAAAATCGCAACTGTTTGCTTTCTCAGTATTATGTTCGTGTTTATTCTAACAGTCTTCTGATATTACGTCCTGTTTACCACATGGAATTTCGCTTCACGGGTTGGCAAGAATAAACTTCCCTATGTTATGCTCCATGCTGGGGCAGTACACAATTTGGTTTACGAAATCATATGTGCTTATAATATCTGTATAGGTTAGTTAGTGGAATTCTCGGAGCAACTCATGGGACATGCTCGTCAGAATTGCCATCACTTAAATTTCTTAATTTTCCTCTCAAATTACAATCAATCTATGTTCTGTTGAGGTAGTGTTGTTAATTGCTGGTTGACTTCTGATTTCTTGACTTTTCTACGATCACTTGTCCTTCGAATAAATAAGTGTATCAGGATTAGAATCAGGCTTCTGTTGATGATCAAGTTGTAGTGCGTCATGTTTCGTACTCTGTCTTCAGTAGTTCAGCTTTACCAAATGGTTTTGACAAACAGAGTCAGCTATCACATCTTCGTCAAAGTGAGAAAAAGGATTGAGGTTTCTCTCCAGTTGCAGAAGGTTCAAAAGAGACAGCCAACATAAACAAAACAAGAACATACATTTTTCCTTCGAGTGAGCAAAAATCAAGCATGAATTTCAATTAATTTCTCTTAAGAAGTTCGGACCAGTGCGCCTAACGAAACGTTGGAATTACTTATTTCAATTTCTCTGCAAATTTTTTACGTTTGTTTACTTCTTACTCGGCGCCCAATTATTTGGGAACTATTCGGCCAAATCTTGATCACAGTTCGTATGAGTGAAGATCTTAGTTTTGACGTAACAGCAAAGAGTGTAATAAAATAACATCGACATTTGAATCGATATAGTAAGAAACTAGTTATTTATATGATTAGACTAGAGAAAGATTCGAGACACGTTTGGTAGATAGATGGCTTACGATAAGACACTATTCGAATATATGTCTGGCAGTTGCGTTGTCTTTGTATTTTCTTTTCCTGGTACGTTTTTTGTGGTCAACTCATACACGTAAACGTAAGGACCACTCGTAGTAATTTCAGGCGTTTCGTGTTGCAGAAGTATATCGTCCGTTTTAGTGGGTAGTCAACGGGCATTTTTGTATTACTCAGACAGTCTTTAAGCACTCGTTTTTTGTCTCAGAATACTTTTTTCCTACGTGCGTTAAAACACAACTTCACAATTCTGTCTGCTTGTTCTAAGACGGTAACTACTCTGTCACCGCATAGCTGAGAAGTACGAATCGCCTGTATATTAATGGCATTTTTAGCGTTATCTGTCGACGATTCAGTTCCTTGATCCTACCAAATGTTTTCCGTGCCTCATAGTTCCACATAAACTTCGTATTATTAAGCAAATAATGCAGGTTTGCATGAACCGACTGTAGAAGGCTTACTCTTCTCAGCAGTTGTCGCAAGTTTTTTTTCTGTTTTATTATTGCAATGCTTATAATAGTCAGAATCCTTGGGTAACTTTTATTTTTCTATTTCCCTATAGAGTGACATTTGTTCTTCCTAATTCTTTGTAGTTTAATTTTTTCACACCTACAACACTATGCCGAAAATCAAGCACAGAATAAAAAATTAGAAACTATATTGTTTACGTTTAATTAAAAATAAATTTCACAGAATTATTAATAATTCAGGAAGTTAATAAAGTCAATCAGGAAGTTATAAGACCAGAAATTATGATCTTTAAAAGAATCACGAGTTGCCTACAAAGTTTACCCCAACCTATGAAGTAACGCCTGTTATTGCTTTCCATGATATAAGTTCCTCAGTCAATGTAGGACATACGTTCTAAATTATTATGCCAGGGGAAGACTTCTAAACTGTCATCCAAATTATTACTATTATTATTCCCCCGGGTTCCGAGTAGAACGTAGGGCTTCAACAGCACATCCCCATTCTGTCTGTTCTAGTCTCTCTGGTCCTCTTGAACTGGCTTCACGATTTCCCATAGTCTGTAACCTCCTCCTCGCATGGTCTCCTCAGTGTCACTTTCAGATGCCCGACTAGTCGTTTCGTAGTTGGGTTCCACTCGAGAGTCTGCTTGAAGTGCGATGTCTCTCAACTGTCCCTTCAGCGTGTGTCCGATCCATCTCCATTCTCTCCCACATATTTGTTAAACAATAGGTCTTTGGTTGGCTTATTTCCAGAGTCATTTGTTGCTAATTCTTTCTAGCCATTTGATCTTTAATACAGAGCGAAGGTAGCTATTGATAAGAATCTTCAGCAGGCCGCTGGAAATGCTTGTGCCAAGTTTCTGGCCCATATAGAAGACTTGACCTGACATTGGTGTTGAATATCCGAATTCTGTTCTTTGTGTTGGGTACAGTAGAGATTTCCGTACTGACTTCGGAGTGATAATGGTTTGCCTTGCCTAGCTGATTCCGGCTTTGACATGTCATCTGTTCTGCATGTAGTTGGTGCTGCCCAGATAAGTGAAGGAAGTGACCTCGTTTGAATTTATTCCGTTCGATAATGATTAGTTCTTTTTGCTATCCGAATGCAAAATGTTTATTTTATGAAACCAGCTTATATATAACAACTTAATCATCGTTCCTCAGCGTGGGGTCATTTTTACATTGTCAAGTTGGCCAATTAGTAAAGATAACAAAACCAGCTGTAGATTCTTGGATTTGATAAGTGTGTAAAATTATAAAAGCAGCGTGTGTTTATGTAATGAAATCGCTTATCACATTCGTGTTGGTTTTATCATTTTGTGGGGGTGGGGTGTTGTAACCAGGTCAAATCCTGTTTTAGTCCATCATTCCTATTCAGACAATTTGGATTTTACTTGATATGAAGTGTTTCTAATGATGTGGGACATTCTTTGTGATATCTGAAATTTTTCTAGATTATTTCAGTATTGTCAAAATCAATTTTCTGACCTGATTCTATAGTGTGTAGACCTATGGATGATAATTTTTCAAGCTTTTCTTGTTCACTAATTATATTTCTCGGTGGTCGAACAGATGCTCTATGGTGTTCATTTCTTCTGATTTTGATTTCTCGAGATGTTTGTCCGATGTATATCGCATCGCATTCCAAGCATTATATTTTGTAGACATAATTAGATAGAGAATCTTTAGGGATTTGGTCTTTTATATGGACAAAGTTGCTTCGCAATGTATCTGATGTTTTGAAGAAAACTCTGATGTCGAGCTTATTGAGTACTCTTCTGATATCGTCTGACGTCTCTGCTCTATATGGAATGACAACTGTTGAGGTCCATGTTTTCGGAATACGTTTTCGACCATACTTAATGTCTGTGTTGATTTTGTTGATGAAGTTCTTTGGGTAGTTGTTTTGCTTGATATTTTCAGTAATGTTTGATATTTCTTCTTCTTTTTCCTTCCCATCCGTTATCAAAGAGTGTGCTCGTCCAAGAGTACCTGGTCTTACTGTATTATTAAAGGACTATTTTTAATGACTACAAGCACTCTGTGACTTATTCAGAATTAAGTGATATCATATATTTCATGCGTAATATTATGATTGGTGTTTTTCATTGTTTGCTCAAATGTTTTTAGTGTAGACATTGAAAGAGAGGAAAATTCTTCCCACATAGTAACGAAGGTGATTAAGGGTTATTATAATTTTCAACTTGACATGAAAGTTTGAAGGGGTGAATGACTCTGAATGATGAGTCAGTTAACATACTGTGACAGGTGTTGATGAAGTGTTCAATTATGGCGCTCCTGATTGAACCAGCGCCTCCTGTTTGCAGCCATGCTGGATAATGTTCTCTAACACGTTTTGATAGGACCCGCATAGATTGACCTATGTACCTAACTCCACACGAGCAGATGAACTGACATATGCACACTGAAGTGTTCATATGCGGGAGCCTGTTCTTCATATTGCCCCGAAGCAGTGGGAGGTTGGAAAATATCACCCTAAAAGTCTCTGCGGGGAACTCAAGATTCTCCTTTTAAGGATATCTGATGCTAGTTCTCCCCTGAATTCCAGATTCAAATACGGTGTTTTCTTTGACATTGAAGTGCATTCTTCCCTTTTTGGCTTAGGTTTCATGTTCTTCTCCACGAAACGCGCTGGGTATCCATTTTGAGCCAGCTCGTTTTTGAGAAACAGAAGCTCTCTTTTTAAGCAGTTATTGGTGCAAATTCTTCTGGTATGGTGAGCTAGCGAGATGATGAGAGCTCTCTTTCGACTGATGGGTATCCAACTGTAGAAGTTTGTTATTTGGCCATTCCATGATGACTTTCTGTGGATAGATCTCTTCAGAGTTCTATCGTCTCTTCTTACCAACTTGACGTCCAGGAATGGAATCTTTGATTCATTTTCAACTTCCATTGTAAGTTCAAGTGAAGTATGGCTATAGTTAAACTCCTGTAAGATACAACTTAAATCAGAATCATCCTGACGAAGTATAAAAGTGTCATCGACGTGCTTTTTGTACAGCAGCAATTTTTCCATTGTTGATGTTAAGATTTCATTTAACAAGCTGGCCATGGAATAATCTGCCAAAAGTGGGCCAAGAGGAGAGCCCATAGCAATCCCGTCTTTCTCTCTCTGTAGATAACGTCAGTCGTTAAAAAACTTTTTGTAATCCTATGTAAACTTGTCTCTAAGCCTCTTGTAATTTGTATTCACACCTTCAAACTTTCATGCCACGCTGAAAATTATTATGACCCTTAATCTCCTTCGTTACTATATGAAGATTCTTTCCTCTTATGAATAGTCGACAAAACAATAAGAAGCTACGATTTATCTGGAAAATGTAGTTTATTCTTGAAACACATTTCGAACATTCTTATCATACAATCACTTGTCATACATATTTGTGCAGAAGTTAAGTGAGTAGAACTACATATGACAAACACGTGCGTGTGTGATCAGAATGTTCAATATCTGTTGTGCCAATAACATGGCACGTGTCAAATAAGTTAAGTTCCCATTGTTTTGTAAAAGGAAGTAATTGCTTTTAATCGATTTGTAATATATCCAAACTGTCCTACTGAAATTCACTATAATTATTGTCTTATTTCTTTTACTGTCTTTTTAAAAATGAAAAAAACAATCATTAGGGAACGCTTTCCTATTTTGCCCAGTCAAACTGGTTGGTGTAAAGTCTATCGTCTTTGTCCGTCTTTAACGCACAATCGGGACAAGATTGGTATTGCAATGGATGGTGATTTAAAACAAGAAGATACCAACTTAGCCTCATCAACAATGTGAGTTTTTTTGTTAGTTTTCATATGCTGTTTCATTTCTGTTACTTCTATGATTAAATTTACCCTGTTACGCATCTTATGTTTGCGTCGTCGTGATGTCAGCCTGGCTGTTAAAGGGTCAGACTTACAATACTTTGAGGTGCGCAGTTTTATACATTTGTGAAATTCGGCCTCTCCAAGCTGAGAATGTGCAGCGACCCTGTGTATTCGGTCATCGTTGTCTCCGTAAAATTGCTTGCGTCTTCGTGTGATTAATTCTGAGGTTCGGTAGCATGGGTTTACACATGGTGCAGGTCGCCACTCATTAAGTGTTGTAATCTAGAAACACCGGCTTCGGTGGCTTGAACATGTACTACGAATGCCATCCCAGAGGCTCCCGTACCAGTCTCTGCTCGCTAGCTCTGAGACTGGATGGATGCCTATAACGGGGCACTGTGGGATGAAGGATATTGGTGTTAAGAGAACATCAATTGGTAAATCACGACTTCCTGGTTGGAGTCTGAGAGTTAGTTAGAATCGGTGTCTCGAGACGTTATCAGATATGGTCAGGAACATGCTTCACCTCTCTTCTTTTTTCCCGTTCGAAAAGTAACGTGGTGTTGAATGGTCGTGACAAGTACGCTTACTGTATGACCCCTTGAATTATTCTACCCCTATTTTCCATATATATATGTATATATATATATACATATAGTCGTTTTATTATTGTTCTGTGGAGTTTATCTTGGTGCCCACAATGTACCACATCTGTGTTTTAAATTAAATAAAAATTAGTTTTAATGAAAGATGCGATGTCCGTCGGTTGGGACATGCGTAAAACACAACCGAGCCCACTATTCTCCTAAGCAATGACTATTAGTTAAAAATAAAATGATATTGGGGGGAAAAGTTAAAGGACCTAATGCAAAGTATCTTCAATTCCATTTTTCTTGGATTATTACATCTAGCCGCTGCAATATACTACTTCACCAATGAATGCACACAAGAAGTTTTAAGCATGTATAGAGGTTGTTTTAAAGAAAAATACTCGATGTTTTTATTTTGCAGCGAATATTTTAGCTGTTGAAGACTTTCAAAATAACTTTTGAGACCCTACGTAGTACCCTCACACGTAGATTCTTTTTCATGAAAGCTCCTTTGACATTCTAAATAACCCAAATAGTAAAAATAACTTTATTAGTGCTAAATCGGCGTGATTGACAGAAGGTAGAATTTTGTACAATTCGACATCAGTTCAAGTTATCACACTTCCGGAAAGCATGCATAAAAGCATAGTTAAGAATTGTAGATAAAGTGTAATGGACGGAAATGTGTGGGAGAGAGATTAACTGATTGAAGATTAACAATAATTTCCAGAATCTGGTTGATGATAAAAAGTGGATAGATCTGTACCACTACGATATATTTGAGCCGTGTTATGAAGAGTTTACAGCTACTGGTTGATAACATCTCAAACATCCCAGCAAAGATGTGTTCATCCTTCACCATGTAGTCTGGACCGAATATTATGAACGTCTTCTAGTCCGATTACCTATAAGCATTTCCCTACCTAATCTGATGAAAAGTAACATGACTTGTCAAACATACAACGATATTTACTCAGGGTGTCCACAAAGTTGGATGTTTTGTACGTTTTCATCTAAAATGGACTATATCGTCTACGCACCCTTAATTGACGAAACTTTTCCTGGTGGCAATTTGTGGGACGTCGTGGTTAACCACAGTTACATACATACATACATCAGTACATATGAGCAGTACATAATTGAGAAGGGTGACAATATGCTTTGCTGATGGACACCGTTGGTTGAAAGATCAAATGAGACTATCTTGATAAAACTCTCACTGGTTCTATTTGATCAGAAGAAATTTCAAAAACAGTCGCTTTCAAAAGATCCTCCTGAACAGGCTGCTAACAAAAATATTGAAGAAAATGACAGATGAATGTCTTATTAGTACACAGTGATAGGAATAATTTCGTATATCTGGTTTTACAATGCCGTCCGTGTACAGCTTACCTGCGGTACACAAACGAGATGTATCAGATATGATAAATTCTTCTTCGCATAAATATCTACACAGATGGACTGTTATTTATGATTCATGACACCTTGTCGATAGTATTGCCTTTTTTACATGATTTTCACTTGAGGTATACATCGATCGATGTATCGATGATGTAACTGTTTTATTTATTTTCTCTTTTTTTGTATTCAGTAATCCTCCTAATTCGCACAGTCGAGAACCAGTAGGAATCGTGGTTGAGTACAAGGTGAAAATACGCTTAGTTCTTGGTTTTGGTATTAGGTAGGTTGATTTCAGAACTGATGTTATGCTATTTTTAATTAATTTATTTAATATATATACATATTTCGTTTTAAAATTTCATTAACAATAAACTTAGTAGTCAGTTAGTTAGTTAGTTGGTCAGTGGAAGTTCTTCTAACTTACTTGTTACTTTTACCGCATATTGAAGAAGTGTTCTTGTGAAGATGATGAAAGTGCATTATAAACTCAAACATTTTCACAGCTTCGTTCCTATCAATTACAAAAGAAATTTAGTGAAGACCCTCAGCCACAGAGTTAGAGCTATATGCTCAGAAGAAGTAATTGAAGATGAATTAAGAGCACTGTATATGATACTTTAATCGAAAATGGCTATCCCGACAAATTTATCAAGAAACGCATGACAAAGAAAGCGGAAAAGGACTACTCACTATCTGTAAACAAGAAGCATTTATATATACGACTACAATTCATGGGCGATATACCAAGCGAGATAATTACGAAGAAATTAAGAAAATCAGTTCAAAGAACTTTTAATGCTGGCGAACTACACGTATTATTCTCTACACGACCGATGGTGCTACGTCGACTGAATGATGAAGTACCTAGACTAGCCACTTCAAATTGTATCTACCAATTCAACTGCGCTGATGGTGGAGAGAGTTATATTGGTCGTTGCTCTACGAACTTGACTTTTCGTGATCGAGAACATATCCCACTATGGCTAAGTAAAGGTGTAGTTTAAACTATTAACAGCTCGATATTAGACCATCTGGTGCAAACCGGTCACAAAGCCAGCGTAGAAGAATCCTTCTCTATAATATTCCGGGTGCCCAACAAATTACTTAAATCATCGAAGCACTGCATGCTCCAAACAGCAGAGGCTATTGCTCTGTGTGCAAAAGAAACAAGTTCAGCCCCTACTACTGCTCTGGCCCTCATTAGAAACTATAAACTCATGAATTTGTATTATTATCTTTCCTAATTTTTCTGACATTCAGTTTATTTTTATGTTAATGTTGTTCAGCTGTAACTTATCAATATTATTGATTTGATGTTATTTAAACAGCATTAATGTTGTTCATAACATTAATTCATTCATTCACTATAATGTATATATATAACTGTAGAGCCTGATGATGAAGTTATCGAAAAGAGTACTCTTTGTTCAGTATCCACTCTTTTGAAAATTCAATTGTTTGTCTATCAGTAAATCGATGGAGCTTTTAAACTTTACCATAAGCATTACGTATTTATTATATCATACACTGATATAGTTTAGTGCGCATATCTTTGGCTATCTTTAAAACAGTAAAATAAATTGTATACATTTTTTATTGAAGAATGGTTTTTTCTTTAAAAAAAAATCATAATAGTGTGTATATTTATCTATCTATCCTTTAGAGTTGAATAAATCCAGGTGATTTATTGTTTGTCGTTTGCATAATTAAAGTTATCACACTTTGTTATCACACATTTTTGTAAATAGGACATTAGAATGAACTTTGAAATTCCATTCACATATAGTATAGCATTGCCAGACTTAAATTATCTCAATTATAAGCCTGTTGAAATGAATATTATTAATTTTATGAACTTTAAATATTATTGTTGTTGATTTGATTATTCGATTATTTGTGAAAAGTTCGAAAAGTTCAGTTTGTTCAGATTCTGCGTTTCTCTAGGGACTTCGATTACTTCCAATGTAGACTTCATCACTCTGTTTCTCTCCATTCCTTTATTTTCTGAGTGGAACATTGAGGTTCAAGTTGTGTTTTGAGGGGGGAGGGGATGGTTATTAGCCTGACGCATAACGTTTGGTAAGTGGTATAATAAGGTGAACAATATTGAGGTGAGGCATTGAGTGCTAGGTAAGCAGGAGAAATCAATCGAAGAGGTTGTGAAGTGACATTGATTGTGAGATAGTTGAGACATGTGTTACGCATGCATGCCTTCCTCGACTGATGGGCAATGTTAGCTGACATAGAGTGGATCAGGTTGGAAAAGAGCTAGTGGTGGTCGAACCAAAACGTGGCACCACTCAATGAAATCTATAACAGTTAGTCTAAGTTACATTGGGGGGGGGGCGGGTGTAGACTTCGTGGTTGGCGTACTTGTGATAGTGAAAACTCTTTGTGATTTATCATATCCCATAAAACTCTATTGTTCTTCCGAATTACTATCATTTTGTCTCACACTTTTGTTTGTTATCTCTCTTTGAATCTCTCTTTACTCTCTTGTCTTGCTTTGTGTGCTACATGGAGAGAGAGTGGCAACTCAAACTGACGCACATCTGTGCAAAGTTCTACGTTGGAAGCAGTCAGTCAGTCAGTCAAACTGTGTTTATTACCAGCTAAGTGAGTTTTAGGAGGGTATTGGCCGAGGACCAAATCCCATACCACATTCGTGGTTGGCTGGCATTCTATCATTGAACCACGGATGCATTATGTAGTAGGCTACTTAGCTTACAAAAGGAGACTTCATTACAAATCAACATCAGTTGCGTAACCACTAAAGACCAATGAGTACTGAACGGATGTTTAAGACTCTATTAGTGCACACGGATGCCTACAGCATGATCTTCAGATTACAAGGCAACCAATTGATCATTCAACCGGTGCTACTTGGGTTTTAAGGATTCATTCTGTTTAGTTGTATGTGAAAACCTAAGTGATATATGTAGTCGTAGGAAAACTTATGATGTGACTTAAGCATCCCGGCATTCAGTCAGTCAGTTCAGATTTCGAATCTCATTCCACCTGCTTCAGCTGACTTCTGGCTAACTGTTGCTGTTAATGACTTGTTTGCTAAGTAATTGATAATCATTGAGAAAAGGCTTTTGTTAGCTTACATTTAACTATTTCTTTTTACTGTTTTTTTATAAATTTTATATACGTAACTTTTAATTGTAATTTGCTTCTTAGGTATTCATTGAGACTGTTTATTGATTTTTGTACTATATTCAGAACTACTCTTCAGCTTAACTTGAATATACCATTTACTAATGTAGTTGATGTAATTTTCTCTTTTGCTTTTCCACTATCATTAAATCTGCGCAATTTCTTGATTTCAATACTTATTAGTCATCTTTTGAATTATGTATTCGATTGCCAATTTTTACACTTTCAAGGAGACAAACGGATAATGTTGAGGTTACTATCTAGTTTCCAATCGAAAGTATCTAATACAGTCCTACAGGAGGTCAATCGTGGGCCCGAATAGCTCAGTGGTGATGTCTCTGACTGCAGCACTGGGTAACGCGGGTCCGAACCTTGGAAAGGACATGAGTTCCTTCAAGGTTGCAGATACGCCTTGCTGACTGGTGAGTGCCAACTAGCACGAACCCTAGGTTGGAGGCTTCCTGCCGACTGCCTCCAACCATCTAATATCAACAATTCATCATGATGTCGAGCCACCTAGTGGCATGGTAGCCACAGTGCAAACTTGACTGATAGAATTCAGTCTGCACCAAAGATAGGACCAGACAAATTACACTAGCTACTAACTAGTTTTCAGTCAAAGGATAATACACTGTCGATTGCACTGAGCATCAGATAGGCACTGTAGATAATCGTATACAGGCTGAAGCAGCATTAAGTATATTTTTCTAGAACTTGTGTACCATCCAGCAGTTATTTGTCCTCCTTTATGGTTAGGAGACATGGCCATTGAAAATAAAAGATTTGAAAAGACTGGCTTTCTTTAACCACAGATGTTTGCATTCTGTCCTCCTTGTTAAGTGGTGTAATATAGTGAGCAATTATGCGGTTAGGTGTAGATTGTTAGATAAAGAGGGAAAGGGTACAAAGGGCACTACACTGGTTGGGAAAGCTAGGACACGTGTTGCCCATGCTAAGCTACCGTCTTCCTCGACGAGCAGTGTTATCTGATATAGGGTTGGAAAAGAGTTAGGAGTGATGAAACCAGGACCTGGTATCAGACCATGAAGTCTTTGACAATGGGTTTAGGCCGTGTAGAGGAGGGTGTTAACTGCCTGGTTGGGGACGTTGGGATTCTAAGAACCAATGGCAGGAGACTATTGGTGATATGACTCAAAATCGTCGCCAGTAATATAGATGCGTCTACCCTTTGTGATCTCTCATATCCAGTGTCTCCTCATGTTGCCATTCTTTCGCCCCCGCCCACATTTATGCTTATTATAGTTCTTCTGAGTTTCGTTTTTCTTTCTTTTCTCTACTTTTGTGTGCTGTATGGAATGTGGCAACGTGTCTACAACTCTGTACTAAGTTCTACATTGAAACTAAGTCAGTCAGCTTCTAATACCCTGAATAATTCTAATTTTCGCGTTTGGATAAACTTAAATATATACTTGTTCATAATGATGAAACGAGTGGTTGCCAATAGAATTTATTAGTATGCTTACTATATTGCGTATGACTTGACGTGAAACACATTCTTAAAGGCAATCAATAAATTTGTTACAATTTATATTTATTATTATTACTTTTTTTTGTCTAGTGATGTCTGCTTAGAACTACCATTTATTTTAACACATCCTAATCCTGATTCATCTGACGCAAATGGAAATGAACACGATGATGAGCTTATCTCTTCAATTACTACTGAACCGTCATTAAGTGAAAAATCACCTGACCGAAACAATAAAATAGATTTAAGAAATATTAAGTCATCTTTGGATGCATCAATTATTAAACGATCAGCTGTTATAAATGATACTTTACAGCATAAAATTACCTCAGAAATAATTGATCCTGTTTTATTTGATGATTCACAACAAAACAACAATTCAGCTGATCGTAATCACTTCAATGTCAATCCGTTTAAGTAAGTTTTTAAATCTTTGAATGTGTGTATTATATAACTGATAAGGTTATGTAGTATATAAATGTACGTTTAATGATCCTCTCCGAAAGTGTTGGAAATTGCCTGTAAATGGTATATGACACAAACTTTTTAGTGGATATGATTGGAAGTATATGGTGGTTTCCTTTGATTACTTGAGAGATTCATACTTGTGTAGGTGTGGGGTGTCTGATTTTCGGTTGGGGTTTGGTTCTGCTCTGTGTGTCGAGGGGATATGTCTCCTCATGCATTCATTTCATTCCGTTGTCTTCCGAGTGGTCTTCAAGCCTTAAGCTTTGAAGTTTTGGGTAGCGTTAGTGTTTTTTCGGGGTGAGGTTGCTGGCTTCCTGCCTAACCTTCCCTGTTTTACGGGATTGGAACAGATTAGGCAAGGTTTAAGAATGCGTCTGTTGGAAATTGAACTTGAACAACTCGTTTAACTGAAGGGTATTTTATGCCTGGACCAGTGAACCCACCTACTCATACATGACAGCAGAACTCTAAACTAACATAAGGTTATTGTTGCTTGTAGCAAAATGAAGTGATCTGTAGCTTATCGATCACTTAAAATATTTTAAGACTTGTCAGAAAGAGGAAGGAAGAGAGAGAGTGAAAGGCAGTTTGATAATTCAATCTGTAGGTGTTAATTAGCATAAGAATGTGACATGTTTGTGTCTATTTTCCTAATATGTATATTGTTAGTGTCAGTATAAATATACATAAATAAACAAGTATTTAATAGCTGTGAATCATTACTAGTTATATATTCTAAATGACAAAATTGGCATCTGATAAAGGCAATCATTTAGTTAAGCTAAATATCCGCCCTTCAATTATAAAGCTTATCTCGTCACACTTATTTGTTATTTGAACTTGACGTTTCCCTCCGAGAATAATTTTTTTTTTCCTTCACGTTCCCCAGTGGAACATAGGGCTTCAAGCTAATGGCTTGAAGTTTCGGTAGCAGTGTTTATTTTACAGGATGGGGTTGCTAGCCTCATGCCCAACCTTTCCTCTTCACCAGCATTGTTTCTGGCTTAGCGAGGTAAAGGAGTGCGTCGGTGGCCGGGTATCGAACCCCGGACCATGTGCATTGTCGGCGAGCGTCCTAACCGCTGTGCCACCGACGCACCAAAACTAGGGAGTACTGGACAGCTGTTTCATCCTAGTTTGGGAATCAACGGCAGTACGCACCCACTGGGATTCGAACGCAGGACCTTCCGGTTACAAGGCAAGCTCGTATACCATTCAGCCACTGGGACCCATGTATAATACGCTGTTAATCCCAGAGTATAAATACTAATTATAACATTATATGTTCTCTATGTTTCATTTTAATTCAGGGAATCCCTTCAATCTCCACAATTTGCAAATAAATCAATTTGTTCTTATTCTCCTCCTGTATGGGATCGTAATTTCCACTTGATATTCTCTGGTTCACGAGCATCAGGTCGACGTCCATCAACTGTTGGTACACAATCGACCTTGAGTGAAGATGATTTATTATTTGAAGATTTTGCTCGATTTCGTCTACAATCATAATATTGTGTATTCATATAATTATTTGAAGATATTGTAACTTTTTTTAAAATTTAATTATTTATAAATTCTAAAGCTCTACTTTCAGTTTTATTTACCTATTTATTTATTTATTTATTTTCATTGTCATTTTTATAGTCCTTTTTATTTCTTAAACTGTTTTATTTTATGAAATCCATGTCTCTAATACACCAGTCTGTGTTACCTTAGTCCTATAATATTGATCTGTTAGAGTTAGCCAGTCAGTCAGGCAGGCAGGCAGTCAATCGCTTAGTCCTGTCTTCGATAGAATTAAGAGACTCTCTCTGTCTAATATCAGAGAGGGGGGAATGAGCATGCTTGTTATCACAGACTGTGATTAGAACTGGTGATAGTTTTCGATATATATATATATATATATATATATATGCAACACTGTAATATATGCACCATTTTCTTAATTATATCTACCTCTGGATTATTTTTAAATTACCTCATGTGTTTTTAATTTCAGCTGGCTTAATATTTGAAATGGTTTCATTTTGTTAATTTTTTTCTCCTTTTTTCTCTCTTTGAGAATACATTTTCCCGCTAATTAACTTTCTTGTTTTTGGCTGTAAAACGAACTATATATATATATATATATATATATATATATATACATGCGTGCATATATACTATCAGACTTTTTGTTGTTGTTGTCAGTGTTGTTGAGAAAAACCATTCACATTTTCTTTCGTTTTGACTTTGAAAAATGCTAATTATCTTCGCGATTATTTAGAACCAGTAATTGTGAAGCCGTTTTTGTCGAATGTTGAATGTGTAATTATTACATATACTGCGTACTACTACTACTACTAGTACTACATGTCTACTAAGTACTTTTACACTCCTTTACACACTGATCAGTATAAGAAGCATAAAAAGAAACCTGTGACTATTGATGATGTAATCAAACAATACGCTGTATTACTTACTCTATTCTGAATGATGATTGTCTTATTGATTCCTCCACAATTTTGTTGTATATGGTTGATCACTTTCAGCTAGGTGCTAATTGTTGGTTTTCCTTTCTTCTCCTGATAGTATTTTCTGTGTGTGTATATGTAAATGTGTTTGACATTCTGTATCCTCTTCATCTTCTTGTATTGTATTTTGAACTGTCTGACTGTCTTTATTTTAATTGGGATATGATATAGTCTGTTTTTAGTGGTTAAATCTAGTTGATCGTTGTTTGTTTGTCTCTCTGCGTGTGTGTTTGAATTTAACTTTCTTCTCAGTCTCCATTATGTGTGTTAGTTATATTATACACTTCACAGCGTTAATGGTAGTGTGAAAAACAATAGGTTATTATTTACTTCCCCCCTCCCCCCTTTGTACTCTTCAAAGAAGATGTATTAATTTACAACAGTGAGTAGTGGTAGTGAGTGACGAAGGCGAAACCAGTCACTGAATACAACGATAGGCTATGCATTTATATTCTACATTATTGATTATTTACTCCATTGTTCTTATTCTCTCTCGTTCTCTCTCTCTCCCTTATCTAACTCCTGAAGTTTCATCTACCTAATAATATTAGTTTCTATGTATAAACTAAGCCGTATTCGATGATAATCAAGGTGAGGTTTTCATCTTTCCTTCTTTCTTTCTTTCTTTCTTGTATAGCAGGCATTGATTCTGTTCTGTTGTGTTCTTATTGTTTATCTATCTTTCACAGTTATTGTTTCCTTTTATTTTGTAATCCCCCTGTTTTATCCTTGCTCTTGTACCACTTCTACTACTACTAATACCACTCACATCAATACCTTCAATTAACTAAAGTAAACTAAACTGAATAGGCACACAATTACTGTTAATTAATTAAATTTGTAGAGACACAGTACTTGTCTTTCTTTCTTTTCTCTCTCCTTTTTCTTTTTCTATTTTGATTATACTGCTGTACATTGAACCATTTAATATGAATAGCTACGATTATTTGTTTATTTATGTAAAACAAAAATATAAAAAAAAATAACATGCCTGCAGTTAGTTTATGGTTAAACTTTTCTATGGGTGCAATAGTTGGTTAGGCAGTGATGGTGGTGATTATCATTGGTGTGTGTGTTTTACGAGTTTCATGTTTAGCTAGCTGACTTTTATAAGCAATTGAAGTATTGGACAGTTGTATTGATAGATTAATTATTTCTTTGTGAAGCTTCTATGAAAGTGACTTTCATGTTTGAATATCATTGAGCTATTCAATTATTTATAGGGTACTACGATTGATACCGCAGTATATTTGAATATTCGACATTTGTATGTTGTTTTAGTGTATTATGGTAGGTAGAAATAGTGCTTCTGAAATCTAGGAGATTGCTGGTACTGTGGTGTGATGCAAATTTATTGCAAGCGGCCAAAACTGAAATCATTGTGGACATGAAATAACCCCATTGGACGACATGTTTAGCCTTGAGCCGATTGCCAACCAATCAGAATAATTTATTATTCTTTGACCAATCCGGACTTTTATGTGGCTAAGAATGTATAAATGTAGTGTTTTCCCTCAAGATAAGAAAGTTTCTTATCTTCTCCTGTTACAGTACTACCTACCTGAACATATGAGTGAAATTTTCCGCCTTTTTTGTATTTTCGCTGTAGCTTTTGTATGGTAGTCTAACTTATTTCCCACATATAAAATGGATTGTGATAACCAGTTAAATGTGAATCGTGTTACCGTTCTTGAAAAAAATCCTAACGCCTTTCCATTTACCAGCGTTTAGCAACACGTAGTGTCAAAAACTTCATACAAGAGATGGAACTGATTGCCAAATCTCTACCTTCCATATAGTCTTCTGACGTGCATTACACTTGAGCATTTTTTTTTACTTGAAATAGAGTGTGTATATTGGGTTTCTTAGTAGAGGTTGATTACTTTATGGCATAGTAGCTAGCTAGATATGTTCTTTTAAAGCCAGTGGACAGTTAATTATTTAATTAACGTTAAGTTCCATATTGATTTGTTTATTTGATATTGTAACGACAGAAGACAAATGCTAGGCAACAGATCGTTTATTGAGAAAATCAAGATATATTTATAGATTTTTATGTATATTATTATTCGTTATTTTCAGCAGAGAAGCAATGCCTTCTGATTGGTTGCTTTCTTGCTAGAGGTTATTCTGTCATCTCCTTGTGGCCGCTTTTTTGAAGGTCAGACCATGTATCTACGAGTCGTATTTGCACACGCTGAGTCTACTGTGATTGGTTGATGAGTTCCTCAAAGTTAAGCTTTGTTATTGTTTTTTCTCATAACCCCGATTCGGGGTTGTCTAAGTTTTTGGCTAGCAGGCAGCTCTCACACAGTGGAATAGACTTACTTACTGGATAACGTTTTGAACACAGTTTATTGCTCGTAATCATATCGGTTATGACTACACAACTTTGGATCTTCAGTTTTATAGGTGTTTTATTCCTTCCTGGTCCCATACTGAAGATCAGATGGCCAGCTTGGATGCCAGGAAGGATCTATACAAACGACTGGACAAACAACATAGTGCCCAACAGATATGCTGAAAGAAAAGGAGACGAATTGAACACTCCGAATAGACCTCTGAGTGACATTGCGCACCATTCCATGTAGCATTTTCCAGATACTTGGGACAGATGTGTACCATAAATCAAACTAATAATTTGCAAATTGGTTAGCGATTTGATATGTACACATTTCGAAGTGTGAAATTTCTGCCACTTTGACCTATGGTATTTGACCTGAAAGTCATCGCGGGGTATTGAGTGGACTAAATTATTTTGTTTAATGGGCCCCACAGGATCCTTCAACCGCCATGATGAGTTTCTAAGTGAGTGTGTAGGTTTGACTGCCACTTTTATTCCTCCATTGTTAAGAATTCTACGTGAAGTACCTTCTTTGTTTAAAAGTACTACTGACGATTTGTGCGTCGGTGGCACAGCGGTTAGGACGCTAGTCGACCATGCACATGGCCCGGGATTTGATCCCCGGCCGACGCACTCCTTTACCTCACTAAGCCAGTAATAGAACTGGCGAAGAGAGGAGGTTGGGCATGAGACTAACAACCCCATCCAATAAAATAAACACTGCTACAGAAACTTCAAGCCACTAGCTTGAAGCCCTATGTTCCACTGGGAACGTGAAGGAATAAAAAAAAACTACTGATGATTTAAACTGCTTCTTGTTGGTGTTATCATTGCCTTGTGTATGTTTGTTATGCATGTCGAATCGTCATCCAATATATAATACTGTTTCACTGTGTGATATATAATTCATGAGCAAATTAATATGGAACTACCATGATGACCAAGTTTTACATATGCACTAAGTTTGTTTCGTTTATTATAAAAATTACTTGGAAAGACGACTTCGTTTTTATTATCCTCTACCTGGTGTACTGCTGTGACGACATGCACTACTGTGCAGTATATACTAGTTTCTATGTGAATAATTCTTGACTGTCAAAATCGTTTCACTTTCGTTACTGCTTTACGCATTTACACTCATATTTGCCTTCAACTAATATAAGTGGGCGTCATTCATTAGCTCAGGTACCTAACTTTCATCTTGTGGGTTTTGAGTGGAAATTCCACTATGTATCATTGTCACCCTTCTCGCAATTATCGTTGCTCATGTCATTGGTATGTGGAAAATCTCTTCTTCTTAATTGAGGTACAACTAAAGAACTAGGTTCTTAGTTAAATCGTCACTCCAGCTTAGGCGTTCAGCAGCTAGAACATTAAGAAAGTCTCTGAGCTTAGTATACAGATTACATTATTATTATTATTATTGTTCCTTTGGGTTCCTAGTGGAACATAGGGCTTCAACTACACGTCTCCACTTGCTTCTGTCTTTTGCTGTACTTTTCACTTGCATCCATGTTAATCCATACTGTTTCATCTCCTCTTCACACGATCTCTTCCATATCACCCTAGGACGTCCCGCTCACCGCTTCCCTTTCGGGTTCCACTTTAGCGTTGGCCTGACGTGCGATGTCACCCAACGGCCTCCTCAGCGAGTGTCCAATCCATCTCCACTTTCTCCTGCATATTTGTTGACCGATTGGTTCTTGTTTTGTTTCTTCCCATAGTTTCTTGTTGGTGATTCTTTCCGGCCATCTGATCTTCAGTATAGAGCGAAGACAGTTGTTAAAGGTCTGCAACCTGTTGGAAATATTCTTTGTGACACACTGGCCAAGTTTCTGATCCATCCGTATAGAAGTACTGACTTGACGTTTGTATTGAAAATCCGAATTTTGTTGTTGATGCTGAGTGCCGAGGATTTCCAGATTGGTTTCAGGTTGATGAATGTGTTTCTCGCCTTCCCGATTCTCGATTTGACATCCTCGTCCGTTCCTCCTGTAGTTGAGACAATGCTCCCTAGATAAGTGAATGAAGTAACCTCTTTCAAATCCCTCCCGTTGATGGTGATTGGCACTGGATGTTGCTGCTTCTGTTGTTGTTGGTTGGTTATTTTCATAACCTTCGTCTTGTCTATGTTCACCTGGAGTCCTGTCTTCACCGGCTGCTTCTTCGACCAGTTTGTCGGTTTTTGCTTGTAAGTTTTCGATTTTGTGTGACATCAAACATAAATCATCCACGCGCGAAATCCAAGTCTTCTAGATTCTTCACGTCGGTCCAGGATATCCCTGTCTTCTCGTTTCCCACTGTCTGACGCATAATCCAGTGCACCACGATTAGGAATATCATTGGTGATAATAAGCACCCTTGTCTGACTCCTGTGTTTACTCCAAACGCCTCACTGAGTTTTCCGTTGTGGATCACTTGACATGTGCCGTTGTCATACAGCTGTTTAATAAGGTTGATAAATATTTGGGGTACGCCGTAGTACTCGAGTAGTTTCCAAATTACTTCGCGGTCAACGCTGTCGAAGGCCTTCTCAAAGTCTATGAAGGAAGTTGAGGTAGAGGTTTGATTGCCATTGCATGCTTTGTTCGATGATAATGCGTAGAGTTTCAATTTGGTCAGCACATGATTTGCCTTTCCTGAATCCAGCTTGTTCTGGTCGAAATTCTGCATTACAGATTACATAATCTCTATGAAACTGCATAAAAGTTAGGAAAAGACAAATGTGATATTTGGTACAGGACCTTTTCATATAGCTAAATCTATTTTTAGTGATTATATACTTATGACTAGTTTTTATCGATTAAAACACCTTCAAACTCGATCGATCTGTGTCTTAAAGTTGATTACGATATGTCATCTTGGCTTACTGCATACATAAAGTTTAATATCGTATTCGGCATTTATCTCTACTAGCAGAGAATATTTTAACAAGTGTTTTACTTAGCTTTTTTCTTCAATGAAGCATATTTATGTCTGTCAGTTGTATTTATCTTCGTTAATTACCAATAATTTAATTTGTATTGTCCTGAAATGATGCCTATACATTATTAACTGTGATAAGTTCTTTTTAAAAAAAAAATGTTAATCTCGATTGTAGACTATCTTAGTTTTTACAGTTGATTGATTGCTTATTCTTATTTCAAGGCATTCATTCCACCAAGAATGCTACTCCTGTAATTCTTATTTTCGGTTCTATTCATAAATATCAAGTTAGGTGGAATACAGTTTATTGTCAGTAGTAACTTGTTGATTGTCAAACAGTCTAAACGAGTGAACTACTGGTAAAATCTATTTAACAGAGCAAATATTGAATACTCTGTTGGTATATATACCTGCGTTAATTTTTGTTGAGAAATGTAATTAACCAGAAATATGTGTACCTTTAAATACATACATATGTCCGTACTTTTTATGATGTCTATCGCAGAGATATGCAACCTACAGCAGTGTGGATTGATTTCCTCCCTTCATAATATTGATGTAAATCAGTACTTTGTTCTCCCTTTATTGATTATATAATTTGCAAAATGTTGTTTGAACCCTGCAATAGGAATTCTAACTGGTATTCTTGAATTTTAAGGAAATTTTCAAAAGGACTTTCAACGCAGCTAAGGCATGCTGTATATTCACTAGCCGACCATTATTAGGTTCAAGAAATAAAGACAGACTGCCCTATTTCGCCTCTTCTATGTGTATATACCAGTTTAAATGCTCATGCGGAGCTAGTTACATTGGGCGTACGATCAAGCAAGTTCATTGTCGAATTTCTGAACACCTACCATCTTGGTTTAGCAAAGGTCCGAATAAAGTGACACTCAGCTCAATACAAGCTCATCTCATCGATACTGGACACCGAGTGGACTCTAACAAGGCTCTTAAAGTTATTTGTCGTATATCAGCGAACCTCTCGCATGGTCTGCGAGTACGACTTTTACATACAGCAGAGGCATTCAGAATTCATCTGAACAAACCGAATCTATGTGTTCAAAAGAAATTTGTACAGCCCCTTTCTTTGCCATGGCCAACTACATAATATGTATTAAGTTTTAAAACGATTTCTCCCCTCCCCTTGTAACTACCTTTTGACTTTGTTAATTTTTACAATTCTAGCTAATTCTATTAACTAGTTTGTATTTTACGTAATTCTTCTGAGTCATCCTATTCTTCTTAGTTATCGTTTGACAAATTTCTTCGTTATGCCGATTGTCTCCAACCATCTAATATCATCAAATCAATGTGCACCATGATGGCGAGCCACCTACTGGCACTGTTGCCACATTGCAAAACCTGACTGAGAGAATTCCATAATGGATAAGATTTTATTTGGATAAATCACACAGTGTTGTACAGTTATATTAACTGATGACGTTTCGAGCACAAACTATTGCTCATAATCATCAGTTAATATAACTGTACTGCACTGTGTGATTTATCCAAATAAAATCTTATCCATTATGGAATTATACTCTACCACCGTGCCCAAGTTTTATACTTATATCAATAACTGACTGAGAGAATTCAGTCTAGACTAGACTCATAATACTAGTTACTAGTGTCCAATCAAACTATGTAATAACTCGTTGTTAACGGCTAAGAATCAACTTATCTTGAATTCTGTAATTAATTTTAACCTCTCTCTCCTTCAAAACTTAGATATCTTGTTACTAACATCTATTAGTTAATTGCTTTGATAACTTTTAACCTCTTAATTTCACCCTCTTACACCTAAAACTGATTAGTTAAAATAACCACTTGATTGGTAAAAATTTTGATGGAAATAACTATATATTAGTGTAGAGTCGGTGTTGAGGAATTAATCGAAAAGGAATATGCATATTTCTTCGCTCAATCTGTTGTTTTTCTAACTGTGTAAATGAGAATTTGGAAATTACTTGAAAAAATTCACTAGATGCATATTTAATATTTTATTCAACACGTAATGTATGCTGTTTTTTGGTAATGTTCATAAGTAAACAAAGATTTAGTTCATATATCGGTCGACTCCTGAAAGTGAGTATATATAGTCAGGGTTACAAAATAATTAATATCACTGTTTTTAAACCACCTCTGCCTCGACTTCAACGACTTTGAAAAGGCCTTTAACGGCGTTGATATCGAAGTAATATGGAAACTCCTTCAACACTACGGAGAGCCCTAAATTTCTACCAACTTCTTTCAGCTCTTATGTGATTATGCTACATGTCCAGTGATTTACAAGGGAGAACTCAGCGATGTCTTTGAAGTGAAGACAGGAGTAAGACAAGGCTAATTACTGTCACCGATCGTATTCCTTACTTCTTTGGTGGACTGGATTATACAGCTGGCTGTGTGGAGCGATAAGACAGGAATACGTTGCTCTGGCAGGAAGACTGTAGGAGATTTAAACTTGGTTGACGAAGTTTAATATCACACAAACTTGAAGATATACAGGCAAAGTTGACAGATAAAGCAACAAACAGAGGACTTCAAGTGAACATATGGAAGACAAAGGTGATGAAGAAGCACTGATGACTACCAATGGCAGAAGTCTGAAGGTGGTCACCACTTTAACTTATTTGGGCAGTATCATTTCAGCTACAGGTGGCACAGATGAAGATATCAAAACCATGATCGGAAAGGCAAGACAGATATTCATTCCTCTAAAATGAGTATGGAAATCTACTGCACTAACCATAGAGAACAAGATTCGGATTTTCAACACTAATGTTAATGTTAAGTCAGTTTTCCTGTGTGGTCCAGACACTTGACGTGTCACCAAAAGCATTCTCTTATCAACAACTGCCTCAATTAGACATTGAAGATGGGATAACTGGCCAGAAAGGACAAACAGTAAGTAATTCTGTTAAGTAACCAACCAACAACCTATTGCCCAACAAATATTGTCAAAGAAAAAGGAAATGGATCGGACACACTAAGCAGACCAGTAAGTGGCGTCACGCACCAGACCCTCTACCCTCCGAAGTCGCTTTAGCTGGCGATGTCCCCTTTTTTCGGTGTCTGTACAATGAAGATCTTAAGAGTTGAAGTATGCTACCATTGACTTACTTACTTCTGACTTGAAAGTTTCTGCAATGACATCAGATAGTCCTTTTGTATTCATCATTAGTATGTTCGGGCAAATTCACCTCAGAAAGAATTGAAGTGGATCAGATAGCCTGAATTTGTTAGGTAAAATATACTACTGAACAAATGTTCATTTTGAAGATCAATAAAAAATTTCTTTCTGTATTGGTATATTTATCACATAGATTCACCGTTCTTCAACTGACCAATTATGGTGCCAACAGTATCTTTGTTATGATGGACATAGGTAAAAGCTCATTTACTCCGCAAATTAATTAACTAATATATGCTAAAAGTTGATATTTTCTATAGTTTGGTTTGTAAGGGTTAGTTATGTTTTTACGAGTTGATCACGGATTGATATCAGTTAGAGATCAACTGTCGGCGACCAATCACGTTGAAAGCACCGGTTCTCGTCCGATCACCGAAGTTAAGCAACGTTGGGCCCAGTTAGTACTTGCATGGGTAACCGGCTTTTTTGTGGCCCAAGTGGTCTAGTAGATAACGCTTTGCGCGTCGGTGGCACAGCCGTTAGGAAGCCTGCCGACTATGCACATGGTCCGGGGTTCGATCCCCGGCCGACGCACTCCTCTACCTCGCTAAGCCAGTAATAAGACTGGTAAAGAGGGAAGGTTGGGCATGAGGCCATCCCGTAAAAACAAACTCTGCTGCAGAAACTTCAAGCCTCTAGTCTGAAGCCCTATGTTCCACTGGGAGCGTGAAGGAATAAAAAAAAGAGATCAACTCGTAAAAACATAACTAACCCTTACAAACCAATCTATAAAAAATTAATCTGATGCTCGCTAGTGACTTGCTACAGGACAGAGTTTCCTGGAGTTATAGTGAGAAGTCGTGACCAGTAAGGTCCAATAAGATGTCACGTGTGTTGATGGATGTCCCACTGATGATATTGGTTGGGGTCACGCTAAATCACGAATCGGTAGAAGTTAGAATTCATGGGCCACTGAACTGGGTCTCAGTGAGTGAATGGTTTACGAGCTTGCCTTGTAACCGGAAGGTCCTGGCAGTGTG